GTTTTGGGGTTTGTCTGCCCCGTTCTGTTTGCAGTTCACCCTAATTGAGTGACCTCAGCTGGCTCCCACGGGCAGCATCGTTACAACAGTCCCCTTACATCTGCACCAATTCCAGGGAGTGTCTGTAACCAGAAGAAATTTCACATTTGATTATACCATACTGTACATCTCTATATATTTGCTGGCTTATTTGAGTTACCCACACCACTCTGTGCAACACCTGGCCTTTTCAGAAGGTCTCTCCTCCAACTATTACCAGGCATAGTCCAGTTTAGTTTATGGGGTTTGCAGAAGTAATAGCACCTGAAAGGGGGATGGGTGCAGACCATGCATTTAGATTAAAATATAGAGGGCTAAATTCAGTCCTGGTGTAAGTGTGTGCTCCTCCAGTGAAACCAACTGCTTTGCATGAGATCTGAATTTGGCCCATCTTTTCTAATAGGGGAAGCAGGGTCACACTAGTCAGCCCGCCAATTCAACCCGCCAGTACTGATGCGGGGTGGGGGGAGACAGAAAATATGGGAAAATTTACCCATTTTAAAGAAAAAGTCAGGACACCTGCAGGGGGGCTTAAATACGGGACTATCCCTTTAAAAACGGGACATCTGGTCACCCTAGTCATTCCCAGCTTGCGTAGACATTCCTGCAATAGCTCTGATCTAGCTAGTGCACTGAGAATAGAAGTAGCCATGGTGGTGCAAATGGCAAGCCGCCACAAGTATGATCCCATCCAAGATGCAAGGCACATACTGTGGGCAGCTAGCCCCTCCCACCACTGCATCTGTGCTTCTATTTTTAGCACCCTAGCTCAGTCTGAGCTAATGCAGGTATGTCTACTTAAGCCGCTAATTACACCTTCCAGCTCAAAGTGTAAACACAGCCTTAGTATTTACCATCTCAATGATTCCAGATCAACTGTACTCCATTTACAAGTAAAAAAGTTTTCTTTTTAAAAGCAGCACCACAACATCCCTTTGAGATGTGAGGGTCAAGCTGGGATCTTTCCATCCTGCACAACATCAACATAATTAGGCTCTCTGTGACACCTGTGCCTTTCGGGAGGTGGTGGGGGGCAGTTTACAGGCACAGATAAGACTACACTTTGAAGACAATGTGGTTGCACAGGTGTCAGTGAGGACATAATTTGTGTAGCAGAACCTTTATTATGGTTTATGAAGAGGGAAGGAGCCCAGCTTGACTCTCAAATACCAGGCTGAATGTGCAAAGTGGCAGCAGGTGAAAATGTTTTTTTACTAGTAAACTGCATACGTTTGAGCTAAGAAATGATAATCACGTAGCCCTATCATGGCATTTATGTGGACATGCTTTTTAAAGTCCTGAGGTAAGTGGGGAAGTGGGATACTGGGAGGAAGCACGAGCAGGAGATGGTGAGAGGGAAGGGCTCCTGCCTCATACTGAGAAAGAGGGACGATCAGCCAGTTATCTCAAGTGCCTATACACAAATGCAAGAATCCTGGGAAACAAGCAGGGAGAACTGGAAGTCCTGGCAGAGTCAAGGAATTATGATGTGATTGGAATAACAGAGACTTGGTGGGATAACTCACATGACTGGAGTACTATCATGGATGGATATAAACTGTTCAGGAAGGACAGGCAGGGCAGAAAAGATGGGGGAGTTGCATTGTATGTAAGAGAACAGTATGACTGCTCAGAGCTCCGGTATGAAACCGCAGAAAAATCTGAGAGTCTCTGGATTAAGTTTAGAAGCGTGAGCAACAAGGGTGATATCGTGGTGGGAGTCTGCTATAGGCCACCGAACCAGGGGGATGAGGTGGACGAGGCTTTCGTCCGACAACTAACAGAAGCTACTAGATCACAGGCCCTGGTTCTCATGGGAGACTTCAATCACCCTGATATCTGCTGGGAGAGCAATACAGCGGTGCACAGACAATCCAGGAAGTTTTTGGAAAGTGTAGGGGACAATTTCCTGGTGCAAGTGCTGGAGGAACCAACGAGGGGCAGAACTCTTCTTGACCTGCTGCTCACAAACCGGGAAGAATTAGTAGGGGGAGCAAAAGTGGATGGGAACCTGGGAGGCAGTGACTATGAGATGGTCAAGTTCAGGAAACCTGACACAGGGAAGAAAGGAGAGCAGCAGAATACGGACCTTGGACTTCAGAAAAGGAGACTTTGACTCCCTCAGGGAACTGAAGGGCAGGATCCCCTGGGAGAATAACATGAGGGGGAAAGGAGTCCAGGAGAGCTGGCTGTATTTTAAAGAATCCTTATTGAGGTTACAGGGACAAACCATCCCAATGTGTAGAAAGAATAGCAAATATGGCAGACGACCAGCTTGGCTTAACAGCGAAATCCTTGTTGATCTTAAACACAAAAAAGAAGCTTACAAGAAGTGGAAGACTGGACAAATGACCAGGGAGGACTACAAAAATATTGCTCAGGCATGCAGGAGTGAAATCAGGAAGGCCAAATCACACTTGGAGTTGCAGCTAGAAAGGGATGTTAAGAGGAACAAGAAGGGTGTCTACAGGTATGTTAGCAACAAGAAGAAGGTCAGGGAAAGTGTGGACCCCCTACTGAATGGGGGAGGCAACCTAGTGACAGAGGATGTGGAAAAAGCTAATGTACTCAATGCTTTTTTTGCCTCTGTCTTCACGAACAAGGTCAGCTCCCAGACTACTGCACTGGGCAGCACAGCATGGGGAGGAGGTGACCAACCCTCTGTTGAGAAAGAAGTGGTTTGGGACTATTTAGAAAAGCTGGACGAGCACAAGTCCATGGGGCCGGATGCGCTGCATCTGAGAGTGCTAGAGGAGTTGGCGGATGTGATTGCAGAGCCATTGGCCATTATCTTTGAAAACTCATGGTGATCGGGGAGGTCCCGGACGACTGGAAAAAGGCTAATTTAGTGCCCATCTTTAAAAAAGGGAAGAAGGAGGATCTGGGGAACTACAGGCCAGTCAGCCTCACCTCAGTCCCTGGAAAAATCATGGAGCAGGTCCTCAAGGAATCAATTCTGAAGCACTTAGAGGAGAGGAAAGTGATCAGGAACAGTCAGCATGGATTCACCAAGGGCAAGTCATGCCTGACTAATCTAATTGCCTTCTATGATGAGATAACTGGCTCTGTGGATGAGGGGAAAGCAGTGGACGTGTTATTCCTTGACTTTAGTAAAGCTTTTGACATGGTCTCCCACAATATTCTTGCCATCAAGTTAAAGAAGTATGGGCTGGATGAATGGACTATAAGGTGGATAGAAAGCTGGCTATATTGTCGGGCTCAACGGGTAGTGATCAATGGCTCCATGTCTAGGTGGCAGCTGGTATCAAGCGGAGTGTCCCAAGGGTCGGTCCTGGGGCCGGTTTTGTTCAATATCTTCATTAATGATCTGAAGGATGGGATGGATTACACCCTCAGCAAGTTTGCAGATGACACTAAACTGGGAGGAGAGGTAGATAAGCTGGAGGGTAGGGATAGGATACAGAGGGACCTAGACAAATTAGAGGATTGGGCCAAATGAAATCTGATGAGGTTCAACAAGGACAAGTGCAGAGGCCTGCACTTACGACGGAAGAATCCCATGCACCGCTACAGACTAGGGACCAAATGGCTAGGCATTAGTTCTGCAGAAAAGGACCTAGGGGTTACAGTGGACAAGAAGCTGGATATGAGTCAACAGTGTGCCCTTGTTGCCAAGAAGGCCAATGGCATTTTGGCTGTATATGTAGGGGCATTGCCAGCAGATGGAGGGACGTGATCGTTCCCCTCTATGCGACATTGGTGAGGCCTCATCTGGAGTACTGTGTCCAGTTTTGGGCCCCACACTACAAGAAGGATGCGAAAAAATTGGAAAGCGTCCAGCAGAGGGCAACAAAAATTATTAGGGGACTGGAACACATGAGTTATGAGGAGAGGCTGAGGGAACTGGGATTGTTTAGTCTGCGGAAAAGAAGAATGAGGGGTGATTTGATAGCTGCTTTCAGCTACCTGAAAGGGGGGTTCCAAAGAGAATGGATCTTTACTGTTCTCAGTGGTAGCAGATGACAGAACGAGGAGTAATGGTCTCAAGTTGCAGTGGGGGAGGTTTAGGCTGGATATTAGGAAAAACTTTTTCACTAGGAGGGTGGTGAAACACTGGAATGCGTTACCTAGGGAGATGGTGGAATCTCCTTCCTTAGAAGTTTTTAAGGTCAGGCTTGACAAAGCCCTGGCTGGGATGATTTAGTTGGGGATTGGTCCTGCTTTGAGCAGGGGGTTGGACTAGATGACCTCCTGAGGTCCCTTCCAACCCTGATATTCTATGATTCTATGAAAGCAAGGCCGTATTTCAAACCATTATAGGGAAAATGCAGCTTTAATACTATAGTTTAGTCCAGGCAATGGAGAAAGATGATTTGTCACCACTGAGAGATTCAAGCTGAGCTCTATCACTGGTGGATTAACGATCACCCAATTCTGGCACAATGTGGAGGGAGGATGGGACGGTCAGCAAAAGCCCCATTCTGCCCTAAATGAGCCTGTTGGTCCTTACTAGGAATGGAAGTTGTTGGGAGTCTGTAGCCCTGGAGTAGGCTGTGGATGATGGCCTGGCCCCAGCAATATGGTGACAGGAGACATGTTTGAGGGAAGATCAGTCACATGGAGTATGTAATATTCATGCCACCCCCAATCCCAGACCACGCTTGCTGTGGAGAGGAGCTGCTCACAGAGGTCACACCCAGTCTTAAGTGGCTGGAGATGATGGGGAGCGATTGTAGGCAGGGAATAGTGGATGGGCTACTCTGGGTGTGAAGTTGTTTCCTCCCAATAGGTAAGGACCAGCAGAGGAGAAGAACAATGAGACAAACTCTGTCTGTCTGGGTCTTCCTGAGTTTCTGTCTTCTCTGTTTGGGTTTGCTTGGGTTTGTGCATCTGACTGTCTGTGGTACTCTCTGTCCATCTGTGGAGCTGTCTCTCTGTCTGTGAATTGGGACATTAACCTTGCTTTTTCCTCTCATCTTTCCCTCTTCTGGCTCCTCTAGCTCTATAGGCAGTACACAGACCAGCTCTCTGACTTTGCACAGAAGGAAGCGGCAAAACTACTGGGTGAGAAAGAAACCCAAGGGAACAGCCAGAGCCCCCAGAAACAGGACAGCCAGACAGAAGTCAAAGAGGAGCGGTACTCCAAATGCCAAGGTAGGACCACTCAGCCGCACTGGACAGACAGGCTCACTTTATTACCAAAAGATGGACAGTTCAAGCTGGAGGTGCAGAGGGATGGAATTCAAGTGGGGCAAAAGGGGGACAAGTGCACACTGTTCCAGGAGAAGGAGGAAGAAGTCCCACTGGGTGGAAGAGGAGAAGCTAGCAGAGGCTAAATTTCCTTTCCCATCTGCCCCCCAGGAATATGTGTGACAGCAAGGGATAGTTTTTCTCAGAGCAGTCTCTCCTTCCATCACACAGTAGGTTACAGATCTCCTGTAGGGGGAGATCTGTAGAAAGAGGCCTTTTCACACTTGCGGGATCATTTGAGGAGATCTCTCCTTCCGGTGCACAAGAGGTTAAACACCCCATCCTGCCCATACTGCAGAAGACTTTGCAGTACTGTATAGCACAGGGATATGTGCCGAGTCCTCCAGCACTCAGACATGATGTTTCCACAGGAGCTGCTTGTGATGGGATCTCCAGGGTGCAGCCTGAGAGTGTGGGACTGCTGTGTGCCCTGAACTCTCTCCAGCCTGGGCTCTCTCTCACAATGCCTTGCTAGCAACCAACAGCAAGCCCCTCCAGGCACTGTGATCACTCAACACAACAGCATGTGGAGCCCCACACCCAGCTTTATTGCATGAGTGCTCCCAGAGCCACTCATGAATCACACAGAGAAAGGCACCAGAGCCAAATCCCCCCAGCTCCCAGCACTGTACCCCAGGAATATACTGTCTTGCACTGCTTAAGATGAGCAATGCCGATTTATTAATTGGTTCACCACTTCATCAATGGAAAGTGGATATACACCAGCCTTTGCAAAACCTAAGCAGATTTACCACACACTTCAAACAAACTTGCTGGTAAAGGTAAACAGTTAAACAAATTTATTTACTACAAAAGATAAATTTTAAGTGTTTTAAGTGATAGGCAAATAGTCAGAGTTAGTTACTAAAAGAAATAAAATATAAGCACGCTGTCTAAACTTTCAACCCTATTAGACTCAGCAACATATAGATTAAGCAGTTTTTCTCACCCCACTGGATATTGCAGTCCCTAGTATACAGATTTCACCCTTGAAATCTGGGCCAGTCCCCTCAGTTAGAGTCTTCAGAGTGTCCTTGTTGCTTGCAGTGTAGGTGGGGGCAGGGGAAAGGCCCAGCTTGTGGCCACTGTGTTCTGTTTTATACCCTCAGTCCCATGTACTTGGGGAGCACAAGTCCAGGCATGTCTGGGGGCATTGCTGAGTCTCCAGGCAAGGTTGAGCAATTCCCCTGGTGTGGCCTCATGATTCATTCAGGTGAGTCATTGAATTGTAACTCCCTTGCTGGACAATGGTTGTTGATGGGTTGTTTGACATCCCACCCGGACATTGGTTATTTTCCTTGCTGTTGCCTCTGGGGAGCTAATATCTGGCTGATCCCCCAATTTACAGCATGGTTTAGTGACAACCATACACAATCTCACAACTTCATAGGCATTAATGATATACATATTTGGATAGAAAAATGACTTTCAGCAGATTATAACCTTTCCCCTGATACCTCACATGGCTTGCTTTATATGCAAGATCACAATTATATATAAATGAGGAATATGGAGGTTACAGGGTGCTCCCCCAAGGTATAGAATGTCACACTGCTATCTTGCCATCCTCAATAAGGGAAAGAAGAGACAGACAAGGGGCTTCCTCAATATTTCTTGACCCTCCCTGGCTTACCCTCTTGTCTCAAGACTTTTTCTCATCCACAGACTGTTCTAGACACATTCAGAAATATGTTACCAAGAAGCTTGGAGAAGACTGGATATTCCTGGTTCTGTTGGGTCTGGTCATGGCACTGGTGAGCTGGGGAATGGATTATGCCAGCGCCAAGAGCCTGCAGGGTGGGTCCCATTCAGGTGCTATGAAACTGCCTCATAAATCACATGAACAATTCACTTCTATGCCTAATGTCTCATGTTCCTCATCCTTCAGCACCAGCTCCCTGCAGCACATTGCCCCATAGTGCCATTGGGGTCAGTACTAACTCCCAGGGCAGAATATCCCCTAGTTTGTTACCCACACCACTCCCTGAGTACAGCTTTTCTTGCACCACACTGGGGCACTGGGATCAGTACTGACCTAGAGGGGAGAGTATCCTCTTCTAAAGAGTCACACTAGATCTTGCAGAACATTCATTTTATTTGGAAGTTGCTCCTCAAAATATAGGCCAGACATCCTCTGCTTAGCTTAGGATATTTAACAGTTACAGACCAAGGTAGAATGGTATGGCTTGACCATGAAGTTGTGTTAATTTAATATTATATTTCTCCCCTCAAGATACATACGTACACACAGCTCCTCTAATCCAGTCCCCACGTCCTCTTTATACTGGGGTGAATTCAGTCTTCAGGTTCATTCAGCCTTGTGTTTCACATCCCCCTAATACACACTGCTCCCTGTGACACCTGCTGTCTGCTGGCAGGACCCCTTTCTGCTGAGGGGTTCAGTCCTGAACGTGGTTGGATTGTTCTCGGTTGGGCTATCCTGATTTTGAGCTGGGTTTGTTTGATGCTCATCAGCCCCTTTGGGGAGGTACTGCTCTCGCTGACTCCTGCTCTGTCTGCCCACAGCTTACAAGTGGATGTACAAGGAGCTGCACCCGAGTGTCCCTATGCAGTACCTGGCCTGGGTCACCTACCCCCTCATCCTCATCCTCTTTGCTGCTGTCTTCTGCCACCTTGTCTCCCCACAGGCTGTTGGTGAGAGCAGGGGGCAAGGGAAGATCTGCCTTTGTCTGTCTCTTTTTCTGTATGGCATGTTCCTTGTTTCTATGGCTTATTTATTCATTCTCTGGTCTGGTTTTTTTCAGGGTCTGGGATTCCTGAGCTGAAAACAATCATGCGGGGAGTGGTCCTCAAGGAATACCTCACGCTCAAAGCTTTTGTGGCCAAAGTCGTAGGCCTGACAGCTGGGCTGGGGAGTGGCATGCCTATAGGGAAAGAGGTGAGTGTTGCTGTTGTGTCTGTGTGGAGTAATGGCCAGGGAGGGGGAGGCAGGTATAGGTGTCTCTTTGGGCACTGTGAAGCCCTGGGGAGGAAGGGGCTATAAATATCTTATCTTTATGGACAAGGGGCCATTTCTCCCCCCACCCCGCACTCTGCTTTTGTTTCTGAATTTCCCTACAGCATTGACCTCCCATTGGTCATTTTCCTGACTCTGTAAAAGGTTTGCTAGAGAAGGGGTTAAAGGAAGTGTGACATTGCACTCCATAATGATTTATGGAAATATGCTTAAGAGTGTAAATATGATGTAACTGGAATATGCTTTATGCAAAAAGTTTCTTGTAAGGTATCATTACAAAGCTTAAAATCTACTGAGTGTGTTCATTCTATTTGTATGCATGTATCATTCTTGTATCTGAAGCTAGAAATATAAAGTATAACTCTGAGGTCCTATTGTAATTATGCAAAGTGTGGGCCATTGATGATCATTTAGAATCTTGATGGCTCCCATTGACTAGAACAATTGGTTGTAAATGGCTCTGTTTACTTGCAAGCCTTCCTGTGTTCCTGTAAGCCAGCCCAGGAAGAATGGTGGACTCCATCTTAAACCTGGTGCTTTTCCATTTAGAAGGAGGGGTGGGGACCCAGAGAGACAAAAGATTCCCGCCTTGTGCCAAAGCTATAAAAGGGGGTGGAAGAGAACAAAGGAGGCTGCAGTCATGAGAAAACCCCTAGTTACCACCTGAGCTGGAACTAACAAGGACTGTACCGGGGAAAGGATTGGGCCCAGACTAGGAAGGAGTCTAGTCTGTGAAAGAAGCTTATTGGAACATCTCTGAGGGTGAGATATTATCTGTAAGCAGTTTCTTAATGTATTAGGCTTAGACTTGCGTGTTTTTGCTTTATTTTATTTGGTAACTTATTTTGTTCTGTCTGTTATTATTTGAATCCACTTAAATCCTACTTTTTATAGTGAATACAATCACTTTTGTTTATTAATTAACCCAGAGTAAATGATTAATACCTGGGGGAGCAAACAGCTGTGCATACCTCTCTATCAGTGTTATAGAGGGTGGACAATTTATGAGTTTACCTTGTATAAGCTTTATACAGATTAAAATGGATGTATTTGGGGTTTGGATTCCATTGGGAACTGGGTGTCTGGGTGCTGGAGATAGATGACCTGCTGAGCAGTTTTTGGTTAAAGTCTGCAGCTTTGGGACCAGACTTGGGTCTGTGTTGCAGCAGGCTAGTGTGTCTGGCTCAACAAGGCAGGGTTTTGGAGTCCCAAGCTGGCAGGGAAAATGGGCTCAGAGGTAATCTCAGCACATCAGGTGACAGTCCCAAGGGGGGGTCTCTGTGACCAAACCTATCAGGAAGATGCTGAGATACCTTCAAATCAGTGATTTCCTACCTGAGAGAAAGAGGGGAGAGGTGGGAGGAGAGAGACAGAGATGATCAGAGAGAGAGAGAGAGAGAGAGAGAGAGAGCGAGAGAGAGGAAAGCGTGCGCCAACTTCTGTGTTTATTAAATCCATGTCAGTTGCACAATGCACTGACCCTCTTTCCTCATCATCTTTTCCCTTCTCTTCTCTGACAGGGTCCCTTCGTGCACATTGCCAGCATCTGTGCTGCTGTGCTCAGCAAGTTCATGTCAATCTTCTGTGGCGTGTATGAGGTAAGGCACAGGTTTCTGTGTACACTTGTCCTGAAGCTCTCCATCTCCTGGGAGAGGCAACATGATTTCTTCTCTGGAGGAGGGCATAGCAGAGGGAGGGGGCAGGATACTGGTACAGGGAACGCAGTCAGTTCACCAAGGTGTTACAGACCAGTACATTACATGCACTGGCCAGGATTATGGACAGTGGCCAGGTATACAGTCCAGTAAGTTATAAGTACTGGCCTGGTATGTGGCATACTAAGTTACAGAACAGACTGGCTAGGAATATGATCTGGCAAGTCTGGATTCTGATAGTGCTGAAGCCATAAGCTGCCTCATTGTAGTCACCCTCCATGCATAAAGACTTGCCAAAAGCTTTGCATAAAGACCAGTTTGTCTTAGAATGTGCATGCACAGAGCACTGCTAATCATAGGAGTGGTCTATATATCTGCTGTAGAAACACCCTTTACAGTAAAAAGATCATTGTAGTGATGAGCTGTTTATTAAGACTGGCAGTGTCCCTAGAGGCTAACTATATGCTATATAGAGAGACTGACTCACTGTAATAGAAACAGCTTGTGCAGACTGGCTCCCTGCAGAGACTGGCTGTGTAATATAAGATAACTACAGCAGTTGTTTATATAGACCAGATCTGTATAGAGACTGGTGCACAAGAGTAGATTGGTGGCATGCAGGCACCACATCATAGCAATACAGTAGACCTTGGCTGTGCATAGTGACCAGATCTCCATATTAGAGACAAGCTTACTGTACTAAAGACTGGCAATGTGTAGAGCCCGGCTCACCATAGCAGAGACGTCTGCATTTGCTGCTGGCTGTTGCTTCATTTTGGAGGATGGGGGGACTAACCCTGTGGCAGTGCTCCCTCTAACCCTGGCATGCCCTTCTCTGGCTGGGCTCTCTGTTCCAGAATGTGTACAGGCAGCTAGAACTCCTGGTGGCGGCTTGCGCGGTTGGAGTTGGATGTTGCTTCGGGGCTCCTCTCGGAGGCAAGTGTATTCTTATATACAACAGTTTGTATACATCACCTCAACTGTCTCACTGTGAATCTCCTACATGAAAACAAGTTCTGCACAGACTTACCTCCTTTCCAGTTCTGTGGTGAAATGTTATTTCTTTTTTCATGTAATCATGGAGGATGGAAGGCAAGGAGGGGGAAGGAGGGGGGAATGCCATAGAGGAAGTGACATTTGGGCAGGAAGTGTCATAACTAATGGCTGAGCCTATTTAGTCCCCAAGTATCAGGCCGAACCTCCAAAGATGGGTCTGCCTACACAATCAGTAAAGACCACCTTCCACAATAGAGAGGAAGGACCAAAAAATACTAGTGGCGGGGAGTGACATCACTCATGGGCAGCAAGTGATAATACTCATGAACAGGAAGTTATATTTTTAGTGCACAAAATAAATTCTTTATCAGTAAGCTAGAGAATAATATGGCTTTGGAGAGAAATGTGAGTGTTAATCACTCACATCTTTGCTTCTGAATCAGAGCCACTCTCTTAAATAACACGTATGACAGAGATATAGATATATATCTATTGTTCTGCTAGATGGGCAAGGCCCAGGGCAACAGTACACAAGGTGCTCCAGTCAACAGGGAGAAAACTGATACATAGATCATTTGTCATAGAATGTTTCCCTTTTGATTAGTCCTGAGCGGGTGTCTGAGTGTGCCCACCCCACCCCAAGGAACTACTCCGATCACTTGGACGCTGTGCCCAGGGTAATTTTGAGGGTATTCACAGTTTGATGGTTGTTCAAATACTGTGTTATTTCCTTGAGACAAATACTTCACTTCCTGTCTTTAGATGGAGTGAGTGAGGGGAGTAATAAACTGTAGCCCAATTGGCTCAGGCCATCCGAAAGAGTTCATTTCATTACTGTTTGCCATAAACAAAAAGCAGCCAGTTAAGCATCTAGCCAATAGAGGGCTTCTGAATGCTTAGCAGACTGGTAACACACCTGACATCCAGAGGGCAGGGGATCCTTCTAAGGGAAAGAGACAGAGGTATGTGTGTGAGAATGGAGCAGCAGGCCGGAGACAGCTTGATGTTGGCTTCAGAGGGAAGGCTAGATAGCAGGCAGCCTGACAGCTGCAACAAGGAGGCTGGATGAGAGCCAGGTGTCTAGCAGAGAAGCAGGCTGTGACTGGCTGAGGGCCAGCAACACCACACAGGAGGAGCCCTCTACAAACACGAGGCATGAGACTCTCACTATCTGGATGACAAGAGAACAGTGCAAAGGGGCTCCCACCAGATGATGGGCCAGTGGGGTCTGCAGGCCAACTCTTAATTACCTCCAAGAGAGGGATGGACTAGAGGAGCAACTAGGGGTTAAAGGAGATTAAAACAGCAGAAGGCTCTCTTACAGCATCAGCCAAGAAGCAGGGTGAGCTGTGAAGGGGCACTGCTTACCCAAGCCAGGGGGAAGAGGGAGAGCTCCCTCTGCATTTAGCAGAGGAGGGGGAGAAATGCCCCCACCCCACTTCACTTCAACCCCTGTGGACAGCCCATTACCTCTCTACTGGACTGCAACATCCGTTAATATACATGTTTAAGCCTTGCACCTAGTGTACATGGACTTTTTCTTGTCTCCAAACCTTAGTAAAGAATCCTCCATTGCTCACGCAGAATGTGAACGTGGTGTGTGGAGCAACTCTAGTGCTGGCCACTGAGTGTGCTGTCCGATCCCTAGAAGGAGCGGGGGTACCACAGCCCGACAGTGACAATACCTGAGGAGGAATCCAGTGCTTCCCATAGGAATATTTTTGTGGGGAGGTGGTAAAAGAAAGCAAAACAAAAACAAAAGAAAGTGGCCTCTCCATGGGACAGTCCAACGTGTGTCTCTCCTTTGCAACAGGCTGCAGAAACGCCCCCTTACAAAAATGGTAGCCACCCAGCAAACAGCAGATTCCTGGACATGCAGAACTGGAGCACAGAGGAAACAGGAGTTGCACGTAGCAATTACAAAGATAGATATACCACAGGAGAATCTCTTCCCATAGTCTCCCGGCCCCCCAAACTCCATATGTGGAGCTGATAGACTCACAGAAGGAGCAAAAGGCATTTCATTTGGCTTTTGCCAAGCTCATTGTGTCTGCTCTAATTGTGGGACCCTCACTGCTTATCAGAGATATGCATGCACAAAGCAAACACTGCTGGAATGAGCTGGGGTGCTAGCAGCAGTGAGATGAAACCTTCTTCCAGACTCACCAACTGATTGGGCCCACCAGCCTTGAAGGTGAGGCAAATAAATGCAGAGATACCCAGATACCATGTTTTCATAATGGCTTTTCTGGCCCTAACCATGATTTAGCTTCCTGTTTCTGCCACGGTAGCAAGTAGAGGACATTTCTTGTCCTAGCTAGCTCCTTTTGAGGTTATTTCCTGTTCAGATATATGTTTAATGTTATTTCCTGTTTGGATGGATTTGTTCTGAGGTAATTTCCTGTTTGATATATATTTTACCACGGAATGGTGTGTTCCTCTCTCCTCATTTTTAAGCAGTGGATTTCAGGGGTTCACACAGGGCAAGATTAAATCAAGATGGGTCCCTAGGCTTTTCCCCACTTGTGGGTACCCTTGGGCCTTGCTCCTGCACTATAGCTATGGCCTCTACCCTCCTTGGGGTGTCAGGACCATCCGCACAAGAGCGATCTGCTGAATTGGTGTTTGACCCACTAGCACTCCTCTTTGGGAAAACTGGGGCCTCCCCTGTCTCTAGACCATCACCCCCTTTCTTCAGACAGGCAATACATGACTGGTGCCTCCCCATACTGGAGGGGCACAAGGTAAATGTGAGGACACATGATCGCCCCACGTGTCTTCCCTGCCTAGTGACCCCTCCCGCCCTGAACCCAGCCCAGGGCCACAGCACTCTCCCCATTCCACATTATCTGTGAGGGGCTGGGCTCTCTGCGCCGCTCCAGTGCATGTTCGGCTGCTCTCCCTGGCAGCTGCAGCTCCATCCCACTCCCCGCCTGGCTGCCAGGGAGAGAGGCTGAATGTGCCAGGGAGTGGGGTGGGGGAGAGGCACAGGGAGAGGAGGATAGAGTCCCTCTCCTTCCCTGCCTGCATTTGACCCCCCCCCCCCCCATGCTGCCCCACGCGTTGCCTCTGCACTGGAGGAGGAAGGACTTAGCTCCCACTGGTCTGCATATGGGGCCTCCGCTGACACCACACCAGCAGTCATGATGAAGTGGCTGCTGTGAGAGTCCCCACAACACAGAATTCCTGGCTGGGGCATTTTTTCACAACCATGAGGGCTAGAAATACATGTACTTCAATGAGAGCTGAGACTGTGCCCTCATCACTTGACTAGTGCCTATGCCTTATTCCAGACCCAATTTTACCTCAGCCCCTTTGGATATTTTGGAGGTGTCCAGGAGGGAGGAATGAGAGAGAGATTATGGACATACACCCCACAAGCATTAGTGATAGCGGGTTGGTGACAAGCTGTGACACTTGGTCTAATTTTGTCACTCACTCTCCCTTTTCTTTCCTCTTGTCTTCTGTCTGTCTGTCTCTCTTCTGTCTCTTCCACCAGTAGCAGCCGTATTATTACACTGATGTCCTAACTGTGGGCTGTGCTGTGGGGGTTGGCTGCTGCTTCGGGACACCACTTGGAGGCAAGTGGCTGCTCCCCTTCCTCTGCCTTTCCTCAGGATACCTTCGTCCCCAACCCCCAATTCAATGACCATTCCCTGTAGTTTCAGCCTCACCCACACTCATTCCCTGTTATGTCCTCCCCACAGAGAGATACCCTCCATCAGCAAGAGACTCTGCCCTCTCACTTTTGCCATCCCTTCAACTCTGCCTCCTTTGCAAACTCTTTTTGATCCAAACTTGATGGGAGCAGTGGCCAAGGATGGTTGGACGGGATTCTAGACGTTCTGGGGAGATTTCCAGTACATGTCCAGGTGATAACATCTCTGTTTTCTCTAGGGGTGCTCTTCAGCATTGAGGTCACTTCCACCTACTTTGCCGTGCGCAATTACTGGCGTGGTTTCTTCGCAGCCACATTCAGTGCCTTCATCTTCCGAGTGCTCGCCGTGTGGAACAAGGATGCAGGTAAGGCTAGAACCATGACCTCTGTGTCTGGTGCATAGGCCTCTATTATCTACTTCCTCTCCAATTTTTCCCCAAATCCAGAAATACAGTGGGGATGTGACATTTCCTCCACCATTTTCCTTGCATACATAACAGGCAAAGACAGGGAAGGAAGCGGGAGAATGGCAAACTTTTGTCACAAATTAGCTAACTCCCTGATTCCTCTGAGGCCTAGGTGTGTCTGGGGTTACCCAAAAAATTCACCATGCAAATACATGAGTCCCCAAGAACTGGTGGGATCCTTGAGGTGAGAATTCACAGTTGGTCAATGTAATGTGGGGCTGCATACACAGAGGCATGCCATCCCAGAGCAGGGAGGTGACAGTATTTGCAGCCTCACACTGGGAATGCTGTGCTCTGGTTGGGTACCTGTCAAGCAGAAAGGTAACGAATTGGAGGGAATTCAGACAAGTGCAATAACCAACTGATTAGGAGGCTGGAAGGACTGATTTATGAGGAAAGATTGAAAGAGCAAAATATACTGGTTAATGATGATGAAAAAGGACAAAATAACTCTACAGGTAGCAGAAGAGGGTAAATGCATTCTCATGCAGACACAAACACCACAGGGGGTGAGGCTTGTTCAGGATGGTGCAGGGAGGTAAAGGGAAAGTTTCAGATATTGCAATAATGGAGACAGAGAGAGATTAAGTAGCTGGATATGAGGAAAATATCTTCTAATGTTGAGGGGTTGTTAAACTGTGCATGGTCCATCTAGTCCAGTGTCCCATCTCTGACAGTAGCCAGGACCAACCGCTTCAGATGAAGGTATAAGAGCACTGCAGTGTGCAGATCTGCCCCCCCCACATTAGGCCTCATCCTAGTCCCTAGTAGTTAGAGACTAAATTAGGGCCTGAAACATGGGGTTTAACATCCCTTCCAATACTTACTGTCATTAACTATGATAACCCTGGATATTCTTGTTAATCTTGTCCAGTCTCTTTCTGAATCTTACTAGGTGCTTGGCTGCAAGTACTTCCTGGGGCAGTGATTTCCACTTTGGGTTGGAAAGTATTTCCTTTTGTAGTTCTGAATTTTCCACCTTTCAGTGTCATGAATGTCACCTTGTTGTTGTGTTAAGTGACAAGGAGCATAGAAGTTCTTGCTCTACCGTCTCTAGACCAGTCATAGACTTTTATCATGTCCCCTGTTATTTGACTCCTTTCTAAGATAACAGTCCCAATCTTTTCAATCTCTCTTCATACAAGAATTTTTCCAGGTCCTCAATCATTCTCATTGCTCTTCTCTGAGCCCCCTCTAGCTCTTTAATATCCTTTGGAGATGAGGTGACCCGTGCTGAAAACAAAATCCAGATGAAGCTGTACCATGATTTCTATCAAGGCATTATAATGTTCTCCATATCATTCTTCATCCCATTCCTTATGCATTCTAGCATCTTGTTTGTTTTTTTGATTGCAGCTGCACATTAAGAAAACGTCACCACTGCTGTCTATGAGACCTGGGTCCCCTTCCTGAGTTAATACAGTTAATTTAGAACCCTATACTGTGTATCAGCTTAAATTTTTCCCTCCACTGTGTGTTACTTTGCATTAATCCACACTGAATTTCATTTGCCACCATGTTGCTCATTCCCCTAGTGTGTTTAGGTCTCTCTGAAGTTCCTCCCAGGCCTCTTTGGTCCTGACTAACCCAAATAACTCTCATCTTCAGATTCTGCTACTTTATTACTCATCCTCTTTTCCAGATCATTAATATATTAAACTGAACAGAACCTATTACAGAACCTTGTGGCCCCCACTGTTAATCTTTAGCCATGATGAAAATGGACCCTTTACTCCTACTCTTTGCTTTCAGTCTCATAGCCAGTTTTTTCTCCATGAGAACACTTTGCCTCTTACCATATTGTGCAGGACTAAATAAATTATGTCAACCGGCCCCTATTTTACTGACATGTTCAAAGAATTCTAAGAGATCAATGAGACATGACTTGCCTTTGTAGAATCCATGCAGGTTACAACCTGTCAGATCATAAACTTTGTTATTGTTTTTAATGATCATTTCAACCAGTTTATGGATCTGAGGCTCACTGGGTTGTCATTCCCCAGAGCACCTCTAGAACCTTTTTAAAATATAGGTACATTTGCTACTCTCCAATCTTTGGAAGCAGTGGCTGTTGTTAATGAGAGACAGTGTATTTTTTATTAACAACTCATCTACTTTATCTTTAAACTATTTCAGAACTCTTGGGTGTAACCATCTAAGCCTGGTGATTTATTGCCTTTGAAATTATCAGTTTGTCCCAGCACCTCTTCTCTGACACCTCAATCTCTGAGACCTCATCTCTAATGTTAGGAAAGAGAAGGTCAGGGTCAGAATCTCCCCAACACTCTCAGCAGCAAAGACAGATGCATCTTACCTTCTCAGCCAAGTCCTTATCTTCCTTAATTTCTCCCTTTAACTCCTGGGGGTGATCAAAGGGACCCACCAATTCTTTCTCCAGTTTTCTGCTTCCCATATACTTGTTTTTACACCTTCAGCTATTTGCTCTTCAAACTCCATTTTAGCCCTTCTAATTTCCCTCCCACTTAATGCCTGCTATAGTTTGTTTTCCTGTTTACTGGCTTCACTAGGGTCAGATTTTCAAATTTTGAAGGATTTTTGTTTGGCTTGAATAGGCTCTCAAGCCTTGCCTGAAGCTATATTTGTTTACTCCTTGCCTTCCTGGTTGTCTTTTTGTTCAACGGTGCACATGTCTTCTGAAAGTACTAATGTTTCTTTAAATTGCATCCATTCCACCTGGAGGGCTTTTACCTCCTTTGCTTTCAACTTTAGGGCCTTTTGACTAACCATTTCATTTATTGAAGTGTCCCTTTTTAAAGTATAGTGTCACTTTTTGGTACCTTACTTGCCTCTGGGATGTTGAGCCTTATTATACTGTGGTCACTGTTACTTAAGTCTGGTCTACACTGTGGGGGGAGGGGGAGAATCGATCTAAGTTATGCAACTTCAGCTACGTGAATAACGTAGCTGAAGTCGGCATACTTAGATCTACTTACTGCGGTGTCTTCACTGCAGTAGGTTGACTGCTGACGCTCCCCTGTCGACTCTGCCTATGCTTCTTGCTCCAGTGGAGTACTGGAGTTGACGGGAGAGCGCTCGGTGGTTGATTTATCGCGTCTTCACTAGTGAAGACGCGATAAATCGACCCCTGCTGGATCGATCGCTCCGGAGGTAAGTGTAGACATGCCCTTAGTGACTCATCTACTGTCACTTCTTGAATTAGCAACTCTGTTTCATAAGAGTAAGCTGAGAATAACCTCTCTTCACTTGTGGTCTAGAACTAGCTGTTCCCAGAAGCAATCACCCCAGTGTCAAGAAATTGTTTCTCTAAATTTGGTCATGTTGTGCTGTTTGACCAGTTTATATTTAGGTAGCTAAAGTCCCCCCATTATCACCATTTATTAGGTTTTCCTGCCTCTGATCTCTCTCCACATTGTGCACTCAATTTCCTTTGCTTCATCTGGAGGCCAGTAGTACATTCTTACATCTTGGAATTTGAGATTTAAAATCCTAGAGATTTTAAAATCCTAGAGATCCTAGAGATTTAGCTGTGTGGTTCTGTCCACTCTACATTTGTATCTCACCATATTCTATGGAAACCTTCAGACACAAAGCTACTCCTGCACCTCTTCAGCTTAGTTTGCCTTTCCTGTATAGTTTATAATCAGATATTGCAGTATCACATGAATTTTTGTCATTCCAACACGTTTCCGTAAAGCCTATTGTATTAAAATCCTCATCTGCTGCAAGACCTTCTTAGTTCACTGATTTTAGCTTTTGAACGTCTTGCATTAGTATATAGATGTTTATAGTTTTAACTCTTGGGTAGGTGCCTCCAAGGGAAGAAGTGGCAATCACATCACTTGAGTCATTTAAAACTAGAGTGGAACACAGTGAGGGTGTGGGAGCAGAAGGTAGGAAGGGGCTGATGGATAAGATGTGACCTAACTGGTCTCTTCCCTCTTTGATTTCTGTGACTGTGATAATTCCTTCTGTACCTCTTATGAGAACTGGGTAAATGCAGTTCCCAGAGAGGAGCCCAGCTTTGTCCCCATGAGGTGATCTTGTCAATTTGTGACAGGGATGATCTTATCAGGGGCTGACTGAAATGCAGTGAATAGAAAGGAAAAATCCCATTTATCTTCTGAGGATAAGAAACTATTCCCAAGCAGAAAACTTTGACAAACTGAGGTTAGATTGAAAGTACATCACTTCCATTAACCCTCTACCCTCCATCTCCACACAAATTAAAAGAACATTAAGGGTTTGCACCAAGTTAAAGCTGTCTGCACACACTTAATTTGGTGTGTGCATTGCCATGCAGTCTTTAATTACACAAGCCCATGCTGCTATTTCCCCACAGATCCTATCTCATATTCTCATTCAGTATGCAGACTGTACTTTCTCACACTTCCCCCCCCCCCTTCCCGTCTCTTGCTCTCTCTTCTCTCACACAGTCACCATCACGGCCCTGTTCAGAACTAACTTTCGAATGGATTTCCCCTTTGATCTGCAGGAGCTGCCAGCCTTTGCTGTGATAGGGTAAGTCCAAAGGGACTCAACAAATTGCAGTGCTAAACTGATATCAAGCTGACCCCATTGCAAATCTTCATATAAAATGGAATGACAGTCTGTTTAGACCATAAAAAGAAAAGGAGTACTTGTGGCACCTTAGAGACTAACCAATTTATTTGAGCATGAGCTTTCGTGAGCTACAGCTCACTTCATCGGATGCATGGTTAGTCTCTAAGGTGCCACAAGTACTCCTTTTCTTTTTGCGAATACAGACTAACACGGCTGTTACTCTGAAACCTGTTTAGACCATAGGACTCTTTCTGGAGGCTTGCCCTTAGAGATATTGCAGAACAACCATGTTTGAATGAGCATGGAAACCCAGTCCCAGTTCTTCGACTGCTCACAGGGTCTGAGCCCAGAGCCCATTCGAAGAGTGCAGAAATCCAGTTCAGGTTCTTCACCTTCTTTTGGGAGGCTGCACCCAAATCCATTCTAGGGGGGTATAGAACTGCAGTGGAATTTTCAAAAGCACCTAATGTCTGCACTTCAAGCTGGTGGCGTACCTTCCAGCATGAGGGGATATATCCATGCTAGGTCTGATTGAGCTAGCACACTAAAAATGGAGTGTAGCTGCAGGCACAAGCGATGGGAGGGGCTAGCTGCTTGAGTACATATGTACTCATTTGAGATGCTAGGCATATACTGGGGGCAGCTAGCCTCTCCTACTGCTCATGCCCATCGGTGCTGGAACTAGAGGTGCTGAAGTGGTTTCCATCATATACAGGGTTTACAGTTGGGTTCAATGGTTCTCAGCACCCCCACTACACAAATTGTTCCAGCACCTCTGGCTGTGCCACTGTGGCAACACTCTATTTGTAGTGCACTAGCTCTGATATGTCTATCCAAGCTCGAATTTACACCTCCAGCTCACAGTGTGGACATACCATAGTGAGCTAGGAACACGAGTCCCACTGAAAGTCACTTAGGCACTTTTGAAAATCCCACTCATCCAGTTTGTTCTCCTGCTTCTAAGGCTGCCTTGCAAAAGTCCACTCACTTACTGACTGTAGGTGAGTCCATTTGTTTGGGTGGGCAAGGGGAAATTGCTTTTTAACTTTGAAACTGTAGGACTGTGACAGCTCCTGCAGCTGTCTTTTGAGCTGCCTCAGACTGTAGTTCTGTTCTTCTCCAGCACCACCCCTCCGGGAAAGGGGTGTACTGATGGGACACTAAAAAAACCCTTCTGAAGCTGAAAAGGAGTGTCAAATATCACAAAAAGAAAAGGAGTACTTGTGGCACCTTAGAGACTAACCAATTTATTTGAGCATGAGCTTTCGTGAGCTACAGCTCAGCTCACGAAAGCTCATGCTCAAATAAATTGGTTAGTCTCTAAGGTGCCACAAGTACTCCTTTTCTTTTTGCGAATACAGACTAACACGGCTGTTCCTCTGAAACCTGTCAAATATCACAGCGATCAGTGTGGTATAAAGGGAGAGAGCGACCTCCCCTGGGGGAAGCCAGGTGCCACCTTGGAACTCACAAAGCTCATTGCAGCATAGCTCTAATCCTCCACCCATTTAGAAATGCATTTTCCCCACTCTAGCCAGCATCTTTCCTCACTTTCAGGAAGCACAAAGAAAGACACAAGTCCAGGCAACATGAGTAAACAGATTTTGTTTTCCTGGGCTTGTAAATGTACAAGACTGTTTTAAGAGGAGCACCGCCTCCCCTCAGTGCCAGGGTGGTGGGGAGGAGAGCACAGAAATCCACGTCAGATTAGAGAGAGCACACCTGAGTCCACCAAAGGGAATTTCTTTTCTATTAAAACCAGAAAATTAACCAATGTTACAAACATAGTGTAGACAACACATGTGATTTTATCATGTCTTATGCTGTTTGGCACTTCTGTTAAAACACCAGGTCCTGGAGTTATGTGATTTCACGAGAATTTCAGCTTTCATTGAAACAAAGTAAGTTTCTAGCCATTGTGATTTCAAAGAAAAGCTTGAAAAGGCACCTGAGTGCACGTCAAAGGCTCCAAAACTGGAAGGCCAAGAAATACAGCTCCCCTGTTTATTGTTTAAAAATCTCATGATTTTTAAGCCAATCTCAAGATTTTTTGGGGCCTGACTCATGAGTTTGAGTGCTTGGGGTTGGCAGTAAGATTACATTTTCCTTGTGGATATACCCAGAAAATATTTTAGAGCTTGGTTAAAGGTCTGGTTGTAAAAATATTTCTCTCTTGAGTAAAGGCAGCTGGTCAACATTTTCTGAACAAAACTTTTTTTAATTGAAAAATGGTTTTATTTTAAAAATGAACATTTTGGTGAAAGTTTCCTCATTAGGGTTTTTCTTCTTTTGAAAAATATGGACAGATGCTGTATGTAAAACACTCAGTTGCTGGTGTTTTTGTCTTTGTTTCTCTGTCGGGCTGTTGGTGTTTGTGATGTGGCAGGTGTGGCCCGTGCAGCTTGGCCAGAGGTTTTTGTGGCCTGTGCAGCCAGTGAGGCCCAGTGGTTGGTTGTGAGTAGTTTTTGTTCCCATTGCCAGTTTTGATTGGTGGGGCCAGTCACATGGCTGGAATTTTTCAAAATGACATGTATCTTTTTGTCATTTTTCAATTTTGAAATAAAAAATAATATTTGGAATGGCTGAGTTGGAAATTAAAAAGATAAAAAACTCTATAGAAAATTTTATAAAATGAAAAATTCATCAATTTTGAAAATGCATGCAATGAAAAGTGAGTTCTTGACGATATCTTGTGGCAATGAATTCCCCAGCTTAATTATGTGCTGTGAAAACAGTATTTCCTTTTACCAGTTTCCAGCATGTTGCCTTTTAACTTCATTGGGTGAATGAGATGCAACCCTGTCTCTCAGGTTACATTCCCTGGTCCTGATTACAGCAGGAAGTACAGAGGCAAATGCTAGCACAGAGAGTCCGTCACACTTTTTGGTTAAATAATGAATAATTAGGAACATAGGCTTCTGTTCAGCAAAGCACTTAAGCATGTGCTTTCCTTAAAGCACATGAGTGGTACCATTACTTTGCTGAATCAGGGCCAGAGTCTCTGTATACTCTGTATGATTGTATTTCCTGGTCCAATCTGACTTCTCAATTCTTCTGGCCAGATTGGTCCTCCACCTTGACCCGGATCCCATCTTTCATCCCCCCATTGGATCTATCAAACTCTCATAGTTTCTTATACCTCGCCCATCACCCTGGTATCTGAGCAACTAGTCAGTTGCTCGTACACATAGCTACAACGATGTGCAGTGTGGTTGGTCTCCATCTTGGTAATGCCAAGTGGAACCTCTGACAAGTCTTATATCCCACTGCTGAGCAAAAGCGGTATCCCCTCCATTGCACCGGATCCCTGCAACCAACGTAACACAGACTGTGGGGTTTCCCTATGGGGTGTGTGTGCCTCCAGAAAGCATCTTTGGAGGCCTTTGTAACAGATGGCACTCTCCAAAAAATAAATAAAAAGCTGGAAAGCAGCAGACAAAAGACTAGAACACCCTTGGAAGGTTCCTGTGGCACTCAGGACTGGGGCGTCCCTTTCTAACACATGTTCTGGATCCCCTTTTGGACATGGGAATGTTTAAGATATAAAGTGGGGGAGAAGGGAGTTATAATACGTTTTTTATCCCTTTACCAGAAACCCCAGTGACATCAGTAAGTGGCTGCTCTGACTGAGATACACAGCCTTAGGTGCAAACTTTGATTCTGCCCATTTGTTGCCATTTAAAAGGCAGGTGAATATCCATATGTGAAAAATACTTAGACTTTATTCCCTGGTGGATAAATGGCATTTTGTGGGTTGTGCTTCATGTTACTTTATTTCATTTCCTCCACTTTAGGATCTGTTGTGGGTTCCTTGGAGCCTTTTTCGTTTACCTCAATCGCCAGGTGGTTCTGTGTGTCCGACGGCATACAGCTCTGAGCCGATTTCTCACCAAATAGTGAGTGTGCTTGAGCAGCAGTACTCTGCCTTAGAGGCCATTACCCTTCCTGACACTGGATAATACCTGTGGAGTTAGGTGCTACTCAACATCAGTAAGAGTATCAGAATCTGGCCCTAAGAGTCTAATTCATGTTAAAATATTTTTATCTGCAGGGAAGAAAATCTCTTCTGGGCTGAACATTTGTCTTTACAAGCCATAAATGGCTTCTTGGTCCAGGAGAGACAGTCTAACAACCCCCTGCAATTTTTATTAGGAGGAGAAAATATAACTGGTTAGACAGGAAATGTTCTTAAAGTAGAAAATCAATAATTTCTTCATAACAGCCACAGTTTATTTTTAGAATATATCAAAGAGAAAATGCCAGTTGAAATCTGACCCAGTATTTCAGTTTTGTAAAACAGACATTTATAAAATTAGGGCTGACAGAAATGTTTCCATGTTAAAAAAAATTCCAGTGAAAAAGTGATTTTTAAAAAAACAATTAAACACTGCCTTACATCAACCCAAATATTGCATCCCTGAGAACAAACAGTGAAACTGATTCTGTTGATGTTCTTTGTCCCAGCTGAAAGCCATATTAAAAAGAAAGATAACAAAGAGCTTTAAAATAATGACATTTGTGCAGGACATTTTGAAATATCTTTCACCTCTAATAAATCCTAAATTATTATTACCAACACAGAGAAAGAAACATGTCTGTTTGCAACATGTGTGTTTTAAGTGAGCATTGTTCATTTAAAGAATAAATAAAATATTGTATTGCCTCCTAAAATTTTTAAGGTCCTTACCCTCTGAGTTGCTGAGTGGCCTCAACAGCTAGCAATTTGCAGGTCTGAGTAGTGAGGAGCTCCTAGTTAAAGGAAAATAGTGACATTTCCCTTTGAGTGTCAAAAGAACTGGATTAATGATGTGGAGGCAGAATTTTCTCTCATTCATTATGGAGCCTTTTGCTGGGGTACCATCAGAACAATCTAAAATATGACAAAGTAAGTGTAAAAGGAGAGCAGAGCCTGAGAAGCAAGTATTTTAATTTATATTTGTGAACAACTTTTCCATAGATTCATAGAGTTTAAGGCCAGAAGGGACCATTACATCATCTAGTCCAGAGATGGGCAAACTACGGCCCATGGGCCGCATCCAGCCTGCGGGACCGTCCTGCCTGGCCCCTGAGCTCCCAGCTGGGGAGGCTAGCCCCTGGCCCCTCCCCCGCTATTCCGCCTCCCCCGCAGCCTCAGCGTGCCACCAGCGCCCTGGCCCGCCGCTCCTGCCAGGCAGCGCAGGCAGTGTGGCTGGCTCCGGCCAGGCCGTGGGGCTGCGAGCTCCTGCCGCTCTGAGCAGCATGGTAAGGGGGCGGGCAGTGTGTGTGGGGGGGGGGTTGGGTAAGGGGTAGGAGGTTCCGGGGGGCAGTCAGGGGATGGGGAACAGGGGGCGTTGGATAGGCATGGGAGCCTGGGGGGCCTGTCAGGGATCGAGGGAGTCAGGGGACAGGCAGCATGGGGGGTTGGATAGTGGGTGGGGTCCCGGGGGGTGGTTAGGGTTGGGAGGTCTCGGGAGGGGGCGGTCAGGGGACAAGGAGCAGGGGGGGGGTTGGATGGGTCAGGGGTTCTGAAGGGGACAGTCAGGGGGTGGGAAGTGGGAGGGGGCAAATAGGGGGCAGGGGCCAGGCCATTTGGGGAGGCACAACCTTCCCTACCGGGCCCTCCATAGAGTTTCACAACACCGATGTGGCCCTTGGGCCAAAAAGTTTGCCCACCCCTGATCTAGTCTGATCTCCTGTATGTCACCCAGTTATTCCTGTATTGAGCCCAGTAACCTGTGTTTAATACTAAAAGCTGCATGAGAGGAATTCAGAAAAGTGTGATGAATAACAATAATATCTTGCACTGAAATCATATTTTTGCCCAAAGGATTCCATTGCCTCAACTTTACATCTCAGCTAAGCAACATACTTCCCTTTAGCATCATACTGGGGCATTGGGATCAGTGCTGATTCAGTGGGGAGAGCACCCTCCCCACTACTAAGCCACCCACCCCACTGCCTGCAGCACAGCGACCCCTAGCACCACACTGGCACCTTGGGGTCAGTGCTGGCTCAGAGGGGAGAGCGTCCCCTAGTGAGTTATTCTCTGTAGTCTGTCTAACACCTTAGTCATTGACTCTTCTGCAAGCATTATGAACATAAGAACAGCCACACTGGGGCAGAACAATGGTCCATCTAGCCTAGTATCCTGTCTTCTGACAATGGCCTGTGCCAGATGCTTCAGAGGGCGTGAACAGAACAGTGCAAATTATTGAGTGATTCCCCAGGCCCACCTCTGCTTGTATGATCTGACATAGTCACAGCCAAGGAAATAAGACTGCAGGAAAAGAACATAATATTACAGTTTGTTAAACTTCTTTCTTTCTTGTTTCAGCCACCTTGTATACCCAGGAGTTATAACCTTCCTGATAGCAACAGTGACCTTCCCGCCGGGGTTCGGGCAGTTCATGGCTGGAGAGGTAAGAGTAGTTATAAAGGAGTAAATGTGTAATTCTGAAAGAATCCCCAAATCAACAAACACACACCATGGTGAGTAAGAAGAACTCTGAGGTTCCCCTTCCCGAGCAGGAGGCAGGGAGAGATTTAGGAAGAGTCTGACCTCTCCTGGGCTGGAAGGAGAGATTTCTCTGAGAGTAATAATCTCCACGCTCCCCTTCAGGCAGATCTGGGGAGGGTCCCTCCATTCCCACCTAGGGGGTTTAGGCGTGGAGATGTAACCCCTTGAACACTAGAAGAGATTAAATAGATTCTCCTCCATCCAAAGCCCTCTCTCTTTTCTGAGCGGGTTAAGGTTTAACGCTTCATATTCTAGGAGGAAATATCCAAAAAGAAACAAATGTGGGGATCCTCTCTCCTCTCTGGTGGGGACCCTGGGTATAACACTGACCCCATTTAATCTTTTGAGACTCACTGACTGTTTTCTTGTCTTCTTTCCTTGAAGCTGATGCCCAGGGAAGCCATCAGCTCCCTGTTTGATAACTACACCTGGGCAAAGCACATGGGGGACCCACAAATCCTAGGGAAATCTGCCATCTGGATCCACCCCAAAGTCAGTGTCTTCGTCATCATCCTGCTTTTCTTCGTCATGAAGGTAGGAAGCCCACCCATCCTGACCTGGCAGTGTGTCGCCCCTCTTGTGGGGGTCAGAGCTCTTGACACCACCCTGCTGTTTGTAAAGTGCTTTGAGACCTGCTGATGACAAAGTTCTACCTGAGAGAGGAGATTGAAACAGAAAGAGATTTTCTACTCCAGTGACCAAAATAGGAACTAGCAAGAATGAGATTTCCTTACAGAAAAATAATGATGAGGACAAACTGTGTGTTATCCTGGGGGAAGGAAGAGAGACAGCATCCCCCAGATCAGGACTGGACAATAATGGCCAGTGGGCACAGGGGTCCCAATATACCATCCTGGGCAGACTGTATGTACTTCCAACGGACGCTAACAGGTTCTGCTTTTTTGGTAATGCTGGGATTGCTTGTCATGCAGATAAAGGGTTAATTATTTGAACTGAGAGATGGTGGGCAATGGGGAGTAGCAGTGCAGTGTACATCTGATCTGCAATGCAAGAAGTGTATCCTTCTAGAGTCATGTGAATGTTCCCATATAGTTTTATAGGTCATTCCTGCCTCTAGAGTCTTTGCTGATGTGACAAACTGCTAGAGTGGCTGTTTCAGGCTGCTTATTTTGGTGTTGGTTTGTGTTAAAGAGGAGCAGACCGCACAAAGAAGCCCTGCCTCTGTGGCTCTGGGCAAAGGTTGGGCCTGATCATGGGTCATGCGTGAACCAGCCCCACACCTTCCACCCAAGGCCCTGCCCCTTTGCCCCCCCCTCCACCTCAGACACCGGCTCCAGGCCCAAAGGAGTGCCAGGAGGGCGAGCGGCGTGCAGCCCCAGCTTCCCCAGCTCCAGAGCATGAGCAGCCCCAGCCCCGGAGTGCCAGGAAGGCGGATGATGCGGCCCCAGCCTCCCCAGCTGGAGCACTGGGGGCTAAAGGACTGGAGCCGCACACAGGGAGCAGTGGTAAGCAGGGGCTGGGGTCACACCTGGCTGTTTGGGGAGGCAAAGTCTCCCCCAGTCTATGCGATCCATCGCCCATGGGCCTGATTCTGCACTGCATTGCACCTTGGTCCCAATACTCAGCTGCATATGGGCTGAGTTTGGTACTGCTCAGTGGAAAGGGAGCAGAGCTGGTTGTACTCCTCTGTTGCAGCTTCCAGATTCTGGGACCAGCCAAGAACCAATCAGGTCCTCTGTGTTAGAGTAGCCACAGGGCTGCTGACCCAAGGGCCCATTGCAGCAGCCAAGAATAGCCAGAGTGTGGAGGTGCTCAGGCCATGGATACTCACCCCTAGCATGTCTCTACACTAGAAGCTGTAGAGCTGTTCTGCTGGCTCCACACCACTTGGAGGTTCTCCATCTGCTGGGGGTGTAGCGGGATATACTAGCTTTATGGCCCTTTTACATCAACTACTCTGCACAAAGCTACCCTTGAAAGGCATTCAGCAACTACATGATGCAGAGTGTGTCACACCCACTTTCTGAAGCGCTTACTGACTTTCAGCTCTCCTAGAGGAAATTCAAGGTGTTGCTCTCTGGATACCATAGACAGCGCCTCTCTCCCTAGGAACTGTACCACTTCAACAGCTGAGATCTGCTGGGCCACACCTGCTGAGAATCCCTTGATGTGAGCTGTCTGGGGATGGGTGGCAGAGTTCTCTGTGGAGCCATCAATGGTAGAATTCACTCACCCTTTTAATCTGATGAAGGCCAAGTGTGTTGGCTGTCAGGGCATGGGACAAGGCTGGTCTGTTTCCTGAAGAAGGTGACTGTGAGATCAGCTAGGGAGAGGTTTAGGGGTGCCCAGTTCCAGCATGATAGTTTGTTGTGGCTCTCCCAGAGGTTGTGGCCTGCACCATTTTATAAATAAATAAAACTTCCTGCAGCATGGGGGGGGGCCCATCTCTATGGATCAAAGGGAAAGTAATTCTCCAAGTTCAGCCCATTCCTTATGGATTAGCTTCCCCAGCAGCACAACAGTCACTGGGAAGCTCTGTGCAGTAGACAGTCTCTGGGAGTGATGGTGGTCTGCATGAATTCTTCCCACTCTCCTTTGCTCCCCACATTCCCAGCTGCCCTTGGCTTCCTTGTTGAGTCTGTCAGATTCCCCAGAAGGCATTTCCTCATAAGCAGGCAGGCTGGAGGATGTGGTGCAGCTGCAGGAGATGCTGTTACCACACACTAACTGTGACCCCATATCCCTCTGTCCTAGTTCTGGATGTCTGTCGTCGCCACTACAATGCCGATACCTTGTGGAGGCTTCATGCCTGTTTTTGTACTGGGTGAGTGTTAACCTCCTTCTTGGCCTTCTCAGAGAGAAAGAGAGAGAGAGAGAAAGAGAGAGAGAGAGAGAGAGAGAGCGAGAAATTATCATTGACAGGGAGACAGAGAGAGCAAGCTCACAATGGTGTTTCTAAGAGGGAATTCGGATCATGGCTCCCACAAGCTGTCTATGAGGAGCTTCATTAACAGTCCAGTTGCCCAGCCTCTGACCTTCAGCTCCTCTTCCTTTCTCCCCAAACTCACAGATGCTGATCTGGAAATTCCTGCAGTTTCTCCACATAATGGACTGTGCACAGTAAACAACAGACATACTTACTAGATAAATCAGAGACAGGGTCAGGACTTGAACCCTGACACTTCAGTTCCAAAAACTCAGGTCCCTGCCTCTTGAAGAAAAGCTCCCCTAACTAGTACTAATAGTAGGTCCCCTGTCCTCTCTGTGGGCCCAGCTACAAGACAGCAACATCCAGCCTTCACTCAGAACCAGTACCTTACAACCTCAGCCATGGATTATCAAGTGATTCATGACAAGTGGTTGATGACTGATTATTGATTGTTAATCCTAAAACAGAAAAAAACTATGTTAAAGTGTCATTTGTACTGAGAGTACATATTAGTTCAGTAGAACCTCAGACTTACGAACACCAGAGTTACAAACTGATCAGCCAACCACACACCTCTTTTGGAACTGGAAGTACACAATAAGGCAGAAGCAGAAACAAAAGAAAAACAAACAAAAAAGCAAATACAATACATGTTAAATGTAAACTACTAAAAAAATTTAAAAAGAGAAAGCAGCATTTTTCTTCTGTATAGTAAGAAAGCTGTATCAAGTCAATGTTCAGTTGTAAACTTTTAGAAGAACAATAATGTTTTATTCAGAGTTACTAACATTTCAGAGTTATGAACAACTTCCATTCCTGAGGTGTTCATAACTCTGATGTTCTACTGTAATTTAGAGTAAAATGTTGTAATTATCCCAAAACCAAGCATTGCAATCCCAGGAAATTCAGTTATGGTTGCACTTAAAAGATATCCAAACATGGCTGGACACGCACAGTTTGGACACCCAAAGAACCCTTAACTTTGCACTATATGGACACCATGCAAAATATGATCCAAAACCTAGTTTTGTCCAGTCTGGGACCACAGACTCACAGTAATCATAATTGTATGGTCATTGCATGGTGTCACTACAGGGCAGAGTTAAGGTTATTTGAGTGCCTTAACTGTGCATTTTCAGACTTGAACATATTTGGATTTATTTTAAGTGTAAACTTAACTCTAAATTTCCTGGATTTGTATTTCTGTGTTTTGGGATAAATACACCCTCCCTGGAGTGGTTTTTGTCCTTTTATTACTGATACAAAATCTCTACCTTAACTCCGTCATAATGTAGTTTTTGTTTTAACATATAAGCACTGGTAAATTACCATATGGCTTTTATCGGCAGAAGAGCACAGCCATTTTGGGTGGATGGGTGTTAATCACTGACTTCATGTGATGCTTTCCAGGGGCTGCATTCGGCCGTCTCATTGGTGAAATCATGGCATCACTCTTCCCTGATGGGATCCTCTTTGATGGCATTGTTTACAAAATCTTACCTGGAGGATACGCCGTCATTGGTGAGTCTCCACGTCTTTCTTTTTTCTATCCCTCCTCCATGAATCCCCTGGTCTGCATGACACTGTCTTTCCTCTTCCCCCACAACTGGGAAAGGCGCAGCAGCCCTGACAGGAGCAGTGAGCCACACTGTCTCCACAGCAGTGATCTGCTTTGAGTTGACGGGTCAGATCTCCCACATCCTGCCCATGATGGTTGCCGTCATCCTCGCCAACATGGTGGCCCAGAGTTTGCAGCCCAGTCTCTATGACAGCATCATCCAGGTGAAGAAGCTGCCTTACCTGCCTGACCTGGGCTGGAATTACATAAGGTGTGGTACCACCAGTGGGGATTGGGGAGAGGAGGGAGAACACAGCAGAAGAGGGTCTGGCAATGGGAAATGAAGGGGGATAGGCTAGGCCACAAAGAAATGGAGCAGGGATGGGGGGTGGCAGACACATAAATAGAGTGGGATGAGGCAGAGAAACAGCGGGAGGGCAATAGAGAAGGAGGTGATCATCCATGAGGGGCGGGAGCAGAACCATGCCTTAGTGGAAACCCAGTTGGTTTGTGGATGGTCTCACTTCCCCTGTAGTTACTCCCACATGCAAGTATGTATCTGGCTGTATAAAGCACACACCTGAAAGGAGCTCCTGTTTTGCTTTCCTCTTTGGGAAGCTTTTCTTTTAGACATATTTGAATGGTATGTTAACCCCTCTCTTTATTTTCTTTGTTCCTCTAGCAAATACAATATCTTTGTTGAGGATATTATGGTCTGTGATGTGAAATTCATCTCCTCTACTTGTACATACCAGGACCTGCAGACCCTGCTTCAGAGCACCACTGTCAAGACCTTGCCTCTGGTAGATTCACCAGGTACGCAGTATGGGGAATCTGACCTTTTCTGAAGCCTTCCTTGGTTGAAAGAGTCTGTCTCCAGAGGTATATAGTTTGGAAGATAGGGAACCAGCCTGGGAACCCAGTGATGTGACCCTAGCTCTGCTGATGATTTGTTGTATGACCTTGTCCAAAAAAACACCACCATCTCCATTCCTCAGTTTCCCTATCTGTAAAATGGGAATGATCATGCTCCTTATCCACGTGGATAAAGTGCTTTGAGATCTTTGGATGAAGAACATGATTAGTTTTCTGCTTTGGTTGGAATGGATGTCAATTGGCCATTGTGGTAGAGAGACAGGATTTGGCTGTAATGCCACTTGGGGGATTCTCTGCTGAGGCTGTTGGAGAAGACAGACTCTGTTGTTCTCTCTGGCTCTGTAGCTGCCTTTTCTCACCACACAGGGATTCCCCTGTCACAGAAGAGACTGGTGACTATAATACCTCTAGTTGTCTGGGAGGGAAAAAACTCAGGCCTGAGCACTTTTGAGAAGAAGGGATTGCAAGGAGGGTTTCACAGCTGGGAGTGGGATAGGCATTTGTTGTGCGGGTTGTGAGGGCAGCTTGGCAGGGTGGGGCACTGGGGAGTGAGTGGGTGAGGGCAGAAAGCGGGAAGGAGACTTTGGCCGAAAGTTTTGGCTGCAGGGATGGCTGTTGTATTTCAGAAGGAGGCTGATCTGATTCATTGTCAGGCAGAGATGGGGCTCAGCAGCAATTCGGACTTGTGGGAGGTCAGTTGGCTGGGGTGTCATGTCAGGGCCATCTGTTGGGTAGCAGGAGGGAGAAGGAGTCAGGAGTGTTTTGTAGAGGCCTCGAGCTGGGATGAGTATGGGGAGGACCTCTTGCCACACCATCTTTGGGATCCTGAGGGCTAATGTGGCCAGTTTGGGCAGGGAGTGTTGGCCCACACACATCCTTCGACTGGCTCCCCATGTTATCTCCTCCTGCAGAGTCCATGATCCTGCTGGGCTCAGTGGAGCGGTCAGAGCTGCAGGCTCTTCTCCAGAGGCATATTGGCCAGGAACGGCGCCTGCGCATCATCAAGGAGATGCAGCAGAAGCTGGCTGAGGCACCCTATGACGGGCACAGCAAAGGCCAGTGGGCAGCCATGCCCAGTTGGAAACGCGAATCTTTTGCTTTTGTGGATGAGGATGAGGATGAAGAGGAGAAGGCTGAGGTAAGGAGGGGAGGAGAGAGAGACTGAGGTGGGGAGATGAGGGGGAGAGAGAGAGTGAGCCCTGGTCTACACTAGAAACATGTCTGTATAACTCCGTTGCTCAGGGGTATGGAAAATCCACACCCCGAGTGACGCAGTTATACTAACTGAACTCCCAGTGTAGACAGCACTATGTCCCTGGGAGGGATTCTCCCATTGCCAGCATAGCTACTGCTGTCAGGGAGGTGGAGAACCTACACTGAGGGGAGAGCTTCTCTCGACAGTGTAGGCAGAGTCTTAACTACATGCTACAGCAGCACTGTATGCGTACACGAGCCCTGAGAAGCAGAGAGGCACTGGGAAAGGGAGGGAAAGGAGCTATTCAGGGTGATTCTTGTTTTATTTCCTTTCCTTCTGTAGCCACCTCAGCAACCCTCTCCTGCTCCCAGTCACCCTGAGGAACCCAATGGCCCAGTGGCGCCTCATATACCAATGCCAGAAACACTGGGGCCCCAGGAAACCCCAGGTATTGTGACCTCCAGAGTGCCCCAGCTTGCCACGTCCCAATCAGCACTGGGAAAGCTTCACTGCCTATTGCTTGTGTGAGTGTGAGGGGCTGAGGCTAGAGCTGGCTGGAAAATTTTCACTGGAAAAAGTATTTCAAAATTATTTTTTCACCAAATTGTGTCAGTTTTGACAAAATTTACTACAGAATTTTTTCTCAAAACAAAAATGTTTTTGTTTCATTTTGAAATTTTGTTTCAAATGTTATTTTTTTCATTTTTACATTATTTTTGCTTTTCTTATAGTGTGTCCTGACATGTCCATATGAATAGTACATGTAATGCACTACTGTTATTAACATGTCATAATATAATAGTGGAGCTAGTTTATTTTTAAAAGTAGCAGCTGCTCTTAATGATTTTAACAATATTATGCACAACTACTACTGACATCAGGAAGTAAGGTAAAAATTGCATACAGATGAAAAATAAAATAAAATTCAAAATGAAAATTTGACATTTGAAATGAAGATTCACAGTTGCAAAACAAAAATCCAAAACTTTCTGAAATGCACATTTTCCAAAATGGACATTGTATAGAAATTTGTTTCATGGGGAAAGCACACAAATTTTGAATATATTTGTTTTGTTCCAATTCAGAATGAAAACAAATTTCAAAATGTGGAAATTTCTTGCAAAATGGAAATTGTGAGGTTTGACCAGCTGTAGCTGAGACACTGTGTCTGTTTGTATGAGTGATGATGGGGAGGTGCTGGCTGCTGTGAGCTTATCTGCTCTCCGCATGTTAAGGGGATTGTGTTGAAATACTATCTGCAATGTGCCTTGTTACCATATACTATGAGCATGTGGCTTCCTCTGTAGCCTTTTGTAGACTCGTGGTAATGTGGACAGATCAGGCTCACCAAGTCTGTCTTCCTCACATTGCAGGACTCATCACACCGTCTTTCTCACTAATATCTCTTCTAGCCAGCTCTAGAGAACCTGTGGTGAAGTTGCCACCACCACTTGCCCACCCGCTCCACATTGTCCTGCCTGTGAAGACTCTTGTCCTGACATCTTATCCTACATTTTCATCCTTAATAGCTTAGACTATCTCCTTAGTGTCATCTCCTGAGGCTGAATGGCCTCCCTGCCCCACATATACACACATCTTTACTTATCCAGCTCCATCTGTGGGGTGTATGTGCAGTGACATATTGTCTTCCCCAGTTTGGAACCATATGAGCTGAGCTCTCCTGACTCTAGTCACGTCTCTCCTCTGATCCCTGAATCACATTTGTTGCTCCATGTTGTAGTTTCTCTCTGTGCCTCCTGAACTGCACAGAGAGAGCCTAATGGTGGCTAGCTCCTGAGGGTGAGCAAGGAAGGCAGGGTTCCTGGCTAGTGTTTGTAGCTGTCCAAAAGGGAAGAGGGGAGTTGGGACCATAGTCTCACTCTCCACCCTACCCTGGCCAGTGGAGCTGGCTGGCCAGGGAAGAGAGCACTTCCTTGCTGCACTCCATTGGGGTGTAGCATTGGGCACAATCCCCTTTCTGCAGCACCACCAATATGGGCCAGTGTCTTTAAGGCACAATAGGGTCCCTTATATGCTCAGTGTGGTTGCAGAGCAGTATACCAGCTAATCCCCCTACTTACCAGATGGCAAAGGTTTACTTGTCTGAGGAATAGTCACCCCAAGGAAATTGGGTGGGGGGGGGCATTGCTTGAGCCATTTTAAACAAGGCTAGACAAAGCCCTGCAGAATAGATTGCAGGGAGCCATCCTGAGGTGGCAGGAGGAAGAGGGGATGGAGCAGATGTGCCCGAACAGGGCTTTCCCCTCCCTCATTTTTATTCCTGGGTCACCATCAGCTTAAACTCTGCGTATCAATATCAGCTCTCCTCTCTTCTTGTTCCTATCAGGATGAATAATCCATGGTCCTTTCCATTCCCAACCTCAGGCCCATGGTGTTATCCTTGACCCCTCTCTCTCCTACACCCCTCACATTCAGACTGTTGACAAATTCAGCTGCTGCTTTGTCTATGATGGCATCTCCAGATCCCATCCTGCCCTGTCTGTCCCTGCTGCCCAAACCACATTCCTGCTTCTGCCACACCCATTTTGCTCCCCTCTAATTTAACCAAAATGCTGCCAGACTCCTGTTCCTCACCCACCACTCTGACATCATCACCCCTCCTTTACGAGTCCTCTCAGGGTCTCCACAACCCTTTCTGTGTGAACAGCATGGCACTGGGACCTTGCACGTGGGTGACCCTCTGCTTCTGGCCCCTTCTTGAAATCATTGCTCTCTGGATAGCCACCTTCCAAGGCTCTCTCTTTGCAGGGTTAGTTCCCCTCAGTAGGTAGGGGATATTGCATGGATTAGTGTGGTTGATTCCTGCCTGTCTCAGATCTTGCCCCATCAGCAATGGAATAGTGTATTCTGACTGGCTGGACCCTTTCATACTAACACCGAATTCTCCCCAGCCTGCCTTGGGCGAGGCCTGGTGCCTTGTGTTTAGTCTCTCACTTGTCCTCGTTTTTTCTCCTCTTTGTTCATTCTCTTCCTGCAGCCAGGAGTTTCTGGAGCTTGAGGCAGCTGATCCAGCAGCTTTTGTGTCATTACAACCGGCCACCAGAGATGGAGAGTGTTGCCCAGGTTAGGGACCCAGAGAGCCCACCTGCGCAGTAATGAGGGAGGGAAGGTGAAGGAAAGAAGGCTCCCTCTGAGAGGTCTTGGTCATAGGGTGGGGGCAGTGGTGTCAGAAAGGGAGATGCATGAATGATGCTGAGTGTCATGGCGTCACTGGGCCAATGCTCTGGAACTACTCCATATGAAACCAGTCAGGACTCTGGGGTAGCATGCCTCCTCTCTCTGAGCATACTGTTGCCAGGGCAAGAAGCTTACACAGCTTCGACCTTCCTGGGTTTGACCTCGGAACATTCAGCATCCCCTTCCAAACTGTGTGCTTCCCACAGCGAGTCCGCCTGGGCGGGGCTCCTGGGGAAGCCAGAGGTCCTGTACTCCAACTCCGCAGTCAGCAGTGACTCTCAACCAGCATAAAACAGTATAAAACAGACTTTATTAGTCGACAGGAACACAGCGAAGAACAGAACTTGTTAGCATGGAAATCAGTGACTTTCAGCCAAGTCCATCTTGGGGGAATCCTGGGCCAGATGCCCTGGACTCCCCGCTCCAGTCCCTCCAAGCAGATCGGCCAGCTACCAGCGACCCAACCTCAAAGACCCGCCTCTTCCTGGTCTTTGTCTCACTTCCCAGGCAATGTGTCACCTGGTTGCATTCCCCTCCTGGGGCTCAGGTTACGAAGGGCACCGGCTACAGGCTGGCAGCTGGAGCAGCCTCACCTGCTTCTGAGGGTCTCAGTCAAAGTCCCACCGCCTAGGCATTGGTGCAGCACAGAGGGAAACTGAGACACACACAGTATTCATGAAAAACAGTAAGACTCACATAGGCTCACAGACCACATAACAAGGGAAAATCCCCTCTTTGTTACACTGAGCTCCTGGTAAAGCATTAGGGATTTCCGCAGAAGAGAATGGCTATGGCATGCATGGGGAAGTGAGGATCCTGCTGGCTAGGTGCTGTCTGTGCTGCCAGTACTGAGAGAGACAAGGTGGGTGAGGTCATATCTTTTACTGGACCAACTTCTGCTGGTGGGAGGTACAAGCTTTCGAGCTATACAGAGCTCTTCACTAGCTCTGGGAAAGGAAGCAGACTGCAAACTGCAGGTACTGAGGCAGGCTTTATGATGATCTGTTCAGATCTAAAGAATGTATAGGCCAAGGGGGCTGTCCAAAAGGCATCCTAAGCAAAACCCCACACCAAACCAGAACCTGCATCAGTGTGCAGGTCAGAAGCATCCCAGTGCACAGATTCTGACCCCCTATGACGGTGACATCCGGGGAAGGATGAGGGCCCCTGAGTATCTGGGGGGTGAACAGTGGGGATTAGGGGGAGCAGGAAGCGGGGGATCCTGAGTATAATGAAGACTTTCTGGGCTTAGGGATGGGGTGGGGTGACAGGAGGGTTAGTTGCCAGAGAGTGGGTGATACAGCTGAGATTAGGAATAAGGGGGTCTTGCACTCCGGGGTTCTCCTGTGGAGCTAGAGCTGCGTACTCTTTCACTGACCATGGCCGTGTTTTCTGTTCTCCCCAGGAGTCTGTAGAGGTTACAGATACAATGAAGCCAGAGGAGGTAAGTCTGGATGAGGAGAGGGGGGGGGGGCGGGCTGATCTCTCCTCTCACCCTTGGAAGTTGTCTCTTTCCTGGGAGGGTCCAGTGGCCAGGATATGCTCATATGCTACAAGGAGAGGCCATCCTGAGAGAAACTATCCCCTCATCCCATGGAAATGGAGCAGCCTATCCTGGAGTGACTGAAGCAGGAAGGAGAGACAAGGAGCTCTCATCCCCTCTAAGCAGGCCTGGGGAAGCCCTCACCTTCCTGGCTATTTTTCTCACTGTGTGTCACCCTTGCTGGGGGCATCTCAATCAATGACACCTCTAGTGGCTGCAGCACCACCAGGTTCCCAAAAGGGAGGCTCCAGCTCATGCTGGAGGGATGGGAAACCTCAGAGGAATAATATATTGGGGGCGGCAGATGGGGAGGAGCGGGAAACAGCAGCAGGAGACTGGGGAGGCTTGGAGTATGGGCTGGGAGCAGTGTTGGTCACTGTGATTGTGATCCCCTCTTCCCTGTGTCAGATAGATGCTTGGGAGCAGGACGAGCTGAATAAGGAGGTGTGCTTTGACAGCTGCCGCATAGACCCCTCCCCTTTTCAGCTAGTGGAGAGGACTTCCCTGCACAAGGTGGGTCGGACCTCCCTCCCAGCTACAGTCCATCCTTCTCCAACTTGTCTGTCTCTGTGCTAGCCCACCCCAGGGCTCATCCCCTCCCCTCTCCCCGTCTCCCTCCCCTCGCTTTGCATTTTTCTCTCTCTTGCTCTCTCTTTGTTGCCGTTGCTATCTGAGGAGCTCTCTGAGCTCCCATCAGCACAGTGTCTGACTGCAGTCTCCTGGAACGTGAGCAGATTAGTTTAATAAAAGAGCTTCAGAGAACCACACTAGGATCCAGCCAGCCATTGCATTAGTGTTGGAATTCCCTCTCCCAGCCTCTGGGGGCTGTCTAGATACACATACATTAGCACTGGGATTCCCACTCTCAGGCACTGAGTGCAGAAGCAGCCACACCTTAGGTGTTTGTAAAAGCAATGATACAGTAATGATGGGTTTCATACGTTAGCCGGTCCACATGCAGCAGTGTGGGGTGGGATTCACACTCCTGGCTCCTGTTGGACCAGGGATCTCCATACCAGCACATGAATACTGGGATTCACCCTCCCTGCCTGAGAATGCCTTTATCATTGTATTTATTAGGGGTCTATCACTGATTATAGCATTGCTGGAATCCACACTCTCAGTCCCAGAGCACAGCAGGATCTACCCCACTGTGCATTGGTCCCTGCTGGGTGGACTGGGATCTGATCCCTCGTAGCCATATGCCAGGTGTGGGGATGTGAGTTAGTGTGAGAATGTTCTGGGTGTCCCTAAAACATCCCAAGCATGCACCAGTGTGACCTGAGGGGAGTCCTGGCTGATTAGAAGTCCCAGGAATAAAAGGAATGTTTGAGCTGTATGGGACTGCTGCTCTGGGCTAACTACTGGTATATACCAGGAGTTCCAGGTCCTCCGGAGTCCCCACTACCACCCTGCAAGTGCAATGAGACTACCCACCAAGGATTAACATTAGATTTCCCACTCCTAGGGCAGCTTCTTACCAGGGTGGTGCCAAACCCAAAGGAATTTGAGTCGGGATTCCCACTCCTAGCTTTGGAGCCCAGAGGGGATCTCAGGCCTAGGCTTAGCACCAAGACTCTCATTCCCAGCCTTTGAGGACATCAAGCCCTATGCAACTGGTAATGGAGATTCTCTTGTGTTTTCTCCCACAGACACACACCTTGTTCTCCTTGCTGGGCCTCAGCCATGCCTATGTGACCAGTAAGGGGAAGCTGAAGGGAGTGCTGGCTTTGGAAGAGGTAAATACAGTCAAGTTTTCATGCAGACACTCCCACCTCCTGCTCAGCCTCAGACATTCTGTGTGTTATCGCAATATCCCACAGCAGGCGAGAACCAGCTTTGGGATGGAAGTTTCAGCTCTGCAGTCAGTACATTTCCTAGCATTCCAGTTTCGAGTCCTGGCAGCACACTGACTTAGCCCTTTTCCCTTCTGAGGGGAGAAATTCCGTTTCTGGATGTGAGTTTTTCAGAAGGGGCCTTAACAAACTAAGGGCCTGTCTGCTTTACATGGATATTAAAGATCCCCTACTCCTTTTTGTGAGAGACAGGCTCTTACCTGTTTGGCTCGTGCCGAATCCATTTAGCCAGTGTCCCTCCCAGAAGTGGCTACATTGAGATGGCATGGAGTTTGCCAAGTGCTGTGGGATGAAAGGCACTGTAGCAATGCAAAATCTGATCTTTCCAGGGGCTAGTCTCCTGCCCCCTTATTTTGGAGAGTAGCTGAACTGTTGTGCTGTGGTTTATCAGCTGCCCTTTAATTCCTTCTCTGTTCCTCTAACCTTCTGCCCCTCCAATAGCTCCAGAAGGCAATTGAGGGCTCCACGTGCTCTGGTGTCCGCCTCCGTCCGCCCCTCGCCAGCTTCCGTGACACCAACAGGACCTCAGTCAGCAATGACCAGAGTAGCCAGGTTTCACAGGTGTGGAGCCGACAGGACAGCTGTGTGGTGCCTGTGAGAGGAGCTGCAGACTCAGGAATGGGGAGCCCACTGTCCTCCAGCTCCCCTTCCCCACAGCCTCCGCCTTTCCCTGAGGAGGGGAAGGGGCTGCGCTCTGTCTCAGCTGCTGACGCTGAGCTGGAGGAGATGGAGCTGTCTGGCCCTGCTGCTGAGAACATCTCAGACATCCTCAAGGATCTGAGCCTCCGCTCCACGGACCTGGAGGAGGAGGATGAAGAGGATGTGCCCCTATAACCGGGGGGAGGAGGGGATGTCCCACTCCACTCCCTTCAGCGAGCCAGCCCTGCTACACATGCTTCTCAGGGAGAGGCCTGGGGACTCTCTCGCCAGTGCTCCAGCATCCACAGTTGCTTAGTTGGGGGAGGAGTCACAGGACTGCCCTTTTGTCTGCTGCCCTCACTGCCTGGAGTGTCGTACTACCTGGGACAGATGGGGGTGTGTGTGTGAGAGGGGGGAGATGGACTCCCGCAGGTGGCAAGGGGGTGGCTGGGATTAAGGCCCCTACTTTTTCTTTCCCAGCACTCATGGTAAGCATGTGGGGGAGAGGCAGCAGGAACCGTAATCAGGCATGGACACCACTTGCTGCAGGGGCAGATGGTCTGGATAGATTGTGCCACTGTGAGAGAGAGGTGGGGAGCAGATGGGGGCCACAGCCCTTCCTCTTCTCCATTCCCCAAACACCCTGCAGAACAGCATGACTTTCTCTGCTTCCCCCACCCCCCAACAGTTCCTGCAGGAACCTCCCCACAACCCAGGATTTCTGACTAGTGAAAATTCACAGGGCCAGGGGGATTGTGCAGGCAATGAGAGGGGAGAGGGCAAGACCCCTGAGCACCATCCTGTACAATCCACCTAGCCACAGCTGTATCCCCTGAGATTGTGGGTTGAGCCAGCCTGGCACCTAGAGACACCCAGCATCCCTGGGGTAATAATAGCTTTATAAACAGTGGCTCATTCGTTAGCACGACACTCTTTCCTGCAGTTCCTAACGGTGGTCGCCATCTTTCCAGACACCTCACACGCACACGGTGCCCACACTTGTATCCTAGAAGCAACTTTCTATCTCAGAATCCCAGCACTCCATGCCCCTGCAGCCCCTTCAGGCCCCTCTCCCATCCTGTGCACCAAGAACATTCTTGTCCAGAAACACTGGGTCTTGTTCTGGATTCTTCCGCTGTTATTTTTCTTGGTGGGAGGAATGCTGGGGGCTTCTCCTGGGCCTGCCAGCACTGCCACAAAGAAGGAGCTTTCTTACTGCTCCCATAAGCATGGTTGGAAGGGAGGAAAGGCTGCCTGATCTGTGTCACTGTTCTTTAATATACTCAGGACTTTAAAAAAGAATTGGACGGGAGGAAAGACTCCTTGCTGTCTGGTTGGCTCGCTGAAGTCTTTAAGCAGAATGGCCAAGATTGGAGTGGGTTGGTCAGAGGTCACAAATGCATGGGCAAATGGCAGTAAGACTATATATATTTTTATCTTTCAGATATTCGTGTGTTTGTTTCTGAACCACTATCAGCAATTTCTATGAAGTTATAGTCTTAAAATATAAGATCGTCCACAGAGGGGGATTGTGGGCTGGGAGCAGGCTGATGAGCCACTCCCCTGCCTTCCCCTTTGCTAACACAGGAAGGCCCCTGTCTTTAAACACAGCTCTCTCCTGCTTCTCCAGGAGTGGGTACCCTCCACACATCTCTGCCAGTACAACTCAATTGTAACTTGCAGCACCCTTTGCTATTCCAGTTCCATCTTCACCTGTGTCCGGAGGAGAGACACTGCAGCAGCTTGGTGCATGCATGTGACACTCTGACTCTGGGAGATGAGAGACTGCCAGGCCAACTCACTATCCCTGCCCGGTTTTCTCAGTACAATGGCAAAATTCAATGCTGTAGGGTCGGCAGATTTCCCCAGCCATTGTGCAGCTTTCTACTGTCAAATTTTTATAAAAGAAACCAGGAGCAGTCCCTGGGGCTCTGCCAGACACAATCCCACTCATCAGGCTGTGAGGAGAGGAGATCCCAGGCACTTTATGGTATGTCCTGATGCCTGGCCAGGTGCACCTCCACGAGCTGGCTGCCTGGAGACTATGACAAAGCCAGAGGCAGCATGGTTCGCAGTTCCTGCCCTGTTCCCTGTTCTGGGAGTCATCTCAGAGACAACTGGGAGACATCAACTATGTTGGGTTTGCCAAGCTTATTTAAGCAGATGGTTCCCCTGCAGTGCTCCAGAGGCAGGTAAAATCCTGGGGCACCTGCCAATATACTAGTGAGAATTCTTCCTTGGCCTCAATTCTAGCAATTAGGCTTGTACATGTAAACAAAAATCCTTTCTGAAGCTGGGGGTCTCCATTGTGACCTGACCTGGCCTGTGTCCAGCTGGGGGCAGTTATATTGGGGAAGAAAGGGTTTGATTTAATTCCCTGGCAATCCCAGGGTCCCTGCCCAGCTCACCCTTCCCTCTGCATTGGAATCTCTGCGTTCTATGTCTGTCCCTCCCCTTTGGGGACAGATGCTTTCTCTCATACTCTTTTTTGAGCTGGTGTTTATTTTTTCCAGTTTTACGTAGAGGCAACATAATTTTAAGACTAACACAAGTAAATAGAAGGGGGGTGGCAGCCTCATGGCAGCAGCCCAATTCACAGAGACTGCCTCTCCCCCAGGCAGCAGTGCTCAGACAGGCCCTGTTTCCTCCCTGTCCCCATGGGGGGAGAACAGAGTAGCCACCCTTTTTTTCTCTTTTTCTTAAAGTTTTAAAGCATGGGGAAGTGGGAAAGAAAGAAAACAATAAAGGCTTATCTTCTCGTAAAGTACCTGCAACTATCTGGTGTGTCATGCCCCATCAGCACTAGGGCTCTGTGAGCTGCCACCAAGCCTGAGTTCTTACCTCTCTGGGATGGCAAGGTCTGTGGCTTGGGCTGATGTTGAAGCTGGCTCTTTAAATCAAAAATCAGAGAAAGGGAGAGAGGTGTGTGCATGAGAGCAAGACAGAGACAGATACAGACAGAGAAGCGATAATTAAGTCCCAGGCAGACTGTGAAGAGCTACAAAAGGATCTCTCATTATGGGCAACAAAATGGCAGATGAAATTCAATGTTGATAAATACTAAGTAATGCACATTGGAGAACATAATCCCAACTATACATATAAAATGAAGGGATCTAAATTAGTTGTTGCCGCTCAAGAAAGAGATCGTGGAGTCAATGTGGATAGTTCTCTGAAAACATCCACTCAATGTGCAGCGGCAGTCAAAAAAGCAAACAGAATGTTGGGAATCATTAGGAAAGGGACAGATAATAGGACAGAAAATATTATATTGCCTCCATATAAATCCATAGTACACCCACATCTTGAATGCAGATGTGCAGATGTGGTCACCCCATTTCAAAAAAGATATAGTGGAATTGGAAAAGGTTCAGAAAAGGGGTATGGAATGGCTTCTGTATGAGGAGCGATTAATAAGACTGGCACTTTTCAGCTTGGAAAAGAGATGACTAAGGGGGGGGATATGACTGAGGTCTATAAAATCATGACTGGTGTGGAGAAAGTAAATAAGGAAGTGTTATTTACTCCTTGTCATAACACAAGAACTAGGGGTCACCAAATGAAATTAGTAGGCAGCAGATTTAAAACAAACAAATATTGTATTGCAAGTATTTCTTCACACAACGCAGTCAGTCTGTGGAACTCTTTGCCAGAGGATGTTGTGAAGGCCAAGACTATAACAGGGTTAAAAAGAGAAATAGATAAATGCGTAGAGGACAGATCATTAAAGTGGCTATTAGTCAGGATGGGCAGGGATGGTGTCCCTAGCCTCTATTTGCCAGAAGTTGGGAATGAGTGACAGGAAATGGATCACTTGATGATTACCTTTATCTTTTCATTCCCTCTGGGGCACCTAGCATTGGCCACTGTCAGAAGACAGGATACTGGGCTAGATGAACCTTTGGTCTGACCCAGTATCCATATCGTTCTTATGGTCTTAAGATGGGAACCGAGAAATTCAAAGAGGGGGAATCTTGGGCTGATGCACACAAAGGGCTGGGGCAGCTCAAAATATACCTCGTAAGGCCTCGTATACACTAAAGAGTTTTTGTCTGTGAGCTAGGAGTGTGAAAAACTCACGCCCTGAAATAGCTAACTGTCTAGATGGTAGTACTGCTGGAAAGGTCTGGGGGTTATATTGGATCACAAATTGAATACGAGTCAACAATGTGATGCAGTTGTGAAAATGGCTAATAGCATTCTGGGGTGTATTTACAGGAGTATTGTATGTAAGACACAAGAAGTAATTGTCATGCTCTGGTGAGGCCTCAACTGGAGTCTTGTGTCCATTTCTAGGCACCACACTTCTGAGGAAAGATTAGAAAACCTGGCCATGTCCTGTCTTAGAAAAGAAGCATGAGCAAGAATGTGCTAACTGCCTTCAAATGTGTAAAGGGCTGTTTTAAAGAGGATGGTGATCAGTTGTTCTCCATGTCCACTGAAGGTAGGCAAGTAGTAATGGGCTTAATCTGCAGCAAGGGAGATTTAAATTAGATGTTAGGATAAACTTTCTAACTATGAGGGGTAGTTTAAGCTCTGGAACAGGCTTCCAAAGGAGGTTGTAGAATCCCCCACACTGGAGGTTTTAAGAATAGGCTGGACAAACACCTGTCAGGGATGGTCTAAGTATACTTGGCCCTGCCTCAGTGCAGGGGACTGGCCTAGTTGACCTACCGAGGTCCCTTACAGCCCTACATTTCTGTGATAGCTATGCTACAAAAGCCCTGGTGTACATGCAGTTATATCAGCAAAAAGTGATTTTGCAGTATAGCTATATCAATACAGTAACCTATGATGCATTTGAACACCTGGAATAGACTTTCACTTCAACCGTTGGGCAAAAAAGTAGAACTGGTTGTGGATTCGTATACCCTAGGATACAGCATTGATAAGCTCATTACTGGAATACTGGCTCCAGTTCTATTATCCACTTTGAAAAGAATGTTGAAGAATTGGAAAGGACTCAGAAAAGACTTACAACAATAATTAGAGGTCTGCAAAGCCTGCCTTACAGTAAGAGCTATAAGAAGCTAACTGTTGAGTTAATCCAAGAGAAGGCTAAGAGGTGAGTTGATTGATTCACGGGGAAGAGATTTTTTGATCTTGCAGAAGGCATAACAAGATCCAGTGGTTGGAACCTGAAGCTAGACAAATTCAAGCTAGAACTAAGGCATACATTTTTAACTCTGAAGGTAACTTACCAATGGATTTGGTGAGTTTTCCATCACTTGGCGTTGTTAAATGAAGACTCGATGTCTTTCTAAAAGGTACATTCTAGCTCATCCAGAAGTTATGGGCTCGATGTAGAAACTATTGAGTGGGTTCTCTGGACTGTGTTATGCAGGAGCTCAGTCTAGATGATTATAATGGCTCCTTCTGGCCTTAAAAGTATAAGAAACCATTTCTAGGCCCTGTTGAAAAGGGGATTCATCATCTGGAAGTACTGAGGCCAGCAAATAGAACAAGGGAAGGAAGCTTGTGTCTGCTTGATCCTGGGGGCCAGTTCAGTCATTGAGCTAGTAAGATCAGACCCCAGATCTACCTCAATGTGTACCTCAGCTGATGAAGTGCCTAAAGGCCTTGTGGAAGCTGGGGAATAATCAGGTGTAGGAATCCTTTGTCCATGACTCCTCCTGCCCTTGGCCCAGAATGCCCCCAGCACTGGGCAAATCCTGCAGGGCATGTGCAGAGCTCTCATAGGGTACCTGGGTATTCCTCAAGAATGCTGAAGGCTGCTCTGCAGCCCCTTTGTGCCATGTAGCCAGCCCACAGATGCTGTAGAGCAGTGAAGGATTCCCCTGAGGGCTGGTCTCTGACTCTGCCCAGGCTTCCCGTTACACACAGTAAAGGCACCACACTCCCTTAGACCTGTTTTTTTCTGGATACCTTTCTCCATGCATAGAAGTGGTCCTGTGTGCTGTACAGGAAACCATAGATGCCAACTCCATGGGTGCTTTAGGGCTGGAGCACCCATGGGGAAAAAATGGTGGGTGCTGAACACCCACCAGCAGCTAGCTCCCCCTTCCCTCCCAACGCCTCCTGCCCATCACAATCAGCTGTTCTGCAGCATGCAGAAGGCACTGGGGGGAGAGGGGGAGGGGGAGGAGCGAGGGCTGGGCAGCTTGGGGGAGGGAGCGGAATGTGGCGTGAGGCAGGACGAGGTGCGGTGAAGGTGGGGGCTTGGGGGGAGAAGTAGAGTGGGGGCAGGGCAGGAGCGGAGCAGGGGTGGGAAGAGGTGGAGCGGGAGTGGGAGCTTGGGATTAGGGTGAGGGTTAAGGTTAGGTACATGAGTTGGCACCTCTGCAGGAAGCCTCAGAGTTTGACCTGGAAACCTTTGCTCCACAACATGAATCCCAAACCTTCAGGCCAGAACCTGAATCTCCAGCTTCTACCCCATAAAACACACACAGGGAGCTTTACTTTAAAATCAGAATCTTTTCCCAAAACCTGTAAACTTCATCCCACAATTGAACTATCACCAAAGCCTTGAACTTTCTCTACAAATTCAAACCCAGGTCTATATGCCCAACCTTCCTCTGCAAAACTGAATTCTTCAAAGCCAAGAAGCACTGGAGCATACAGAATTGAAAGCAGATTGTATCACTCCCTAGCACTACCTTGCCCTGCCCAACTCCCCTAGCCTTTCTATACCTCTGTGCTTTTCCGTTTCCTCACTTGAAGAATGCAATATTCCACGTGCTCGGAATGGCCTGTTGCCACTGGATGTTGCTAGCCCAGTGCTTAGCCAGGGAGCACTGCAGTAAGGGGAGGGTGAGAGAAACTGATTCTGGGTGATTTCCTGAGCCCTTTTCTCTCCAGAGAAGACAGACAACCCCACCCAGACTTCTGGCTCCTGCTGGACCTGGTGGCTCTGAGAGCTAGTGGAGTACGTGTCCTGGGAGGGGATATTGTCAGTAACAAGGCAGTGTGGAGGGAGGTACTAAGGGAGGGAGGGAGCTGAGCAGCAGTACTTGCTGCAGCTGAAAGACAGATATAGCATGTGTTCCCCACAGGCCTGCACTTCCACAATGGCTGGTATATGGGGTGGAAGGGAAGCCAGGCCTTCTCCACGTCCCCTTACTTCCCTATGTGCCCAGACACATCCCCCCCAGTTCACTCGGAGAGTACAGGCAGCAGTAGCATTTTGGCAGCCGCCTCCGGCCAAGGTGTGCTAAGGGGTAGACAATACTCCTGTGGCCTCCTTCTCCTTCCCAAACTCAACTCAGTGGATTCACACAGAGCAGCCATAACAGAACCAGTCTCCACTCCGTTCCTCAGTGTTCCCCACCTATACAATGGGGAGAATTATAATTACCAATGGTACCTTCACAGAGGCATTGTGAGGCTCAGTTCATTAATGTTAAGGCCTTAAAGTTCCTGAGCTGGAAGATGCTAAAGGAAGAACTTGGATACTACTGAGATGACTAATCTGTATAAATGCCTAGAAAGAGACAAACATGGAGAGAGAGGACATGAGAGAGCTATTACTGACTTTATTTTCCAATCAAGAACAAGTTTTAAAACAACCATAATGAAGACAGATTTTAAAATGTAAACTATTTATTTTTAAATAAATGTCTTAAAGCTGCCCAGTAATAAATGGCAAAGTCACCTGTGACTCTGAACAATGAAGGAAAATTAAAGAAAAAATCAAGGTAGAAAAAGGAAAATCACTAACATAAGGTCAGCATTTCAGCCACACAAGCTGAAGCTACAGTCTCCTCAAAGCCTAACCTTTAACCCCAAGTGCAACAGAACTGTGAGCAAAAGGCAGCACTGAGGATTTATGAAGAATAAGTTGACAACAAACTTGGCTGCCTTTTGCTCCTGAGATATACAATATAAGTGGTTACAGAGAAAGCAGGAGTTGTAACATACTTGGATGTTGGTCCAATATTTTATGAGATGTTTGTGTGATTCACCAACCTAACCCCCAGTGTAAACAATGCTATGTTGAGGGAAGGGCTTCTCCCATCAACATAGCTACCTCCTCTCGCAGAGGTGAATTAACTATGCCGATGGGAGAAGCTCTCCTGTCAGCATAGTAGCAGCTTCACTAAAGCGCTACAGCTTTATAAGTGTAGACCTGCAGCTTTATAAGTGTAGACCTGCCCTCACTCTCAGTCATAATTCAAAGTGACTGGGATATGAGAACTGCTATGTGCAGCTAAGAACTGTCTGAAGAACTGTAAAGAAATCATGCTGGCAAATGGCAAAGCTGAAGCTGGGGAGGTGTCAAGCAGGACTGTTCCACGTCCATCTTATTTAAAATCTTCATGAATAACTGGAAGAGGAAGTAAATGGCCTGGCTAATGAAATTCACAGACGATAACTTGGGAAGAGCAGTGAATACCAGACAGGACAGAGAATAAGAAAGAGACCTACAGAGAGCTGAGATTGGGACAGAAAATAACAGGATAAGAAAATAATGAGATAAGAAAATAACAGGAAAACACAGCTAACTTGTCTGGGCAAAAGAATCCAAAACATACTCAGTGGGAGGAGAACCCTAGGACAGAGAGATGCTTAAAAAGACCTTGAAAAGCTACAACATACAGCAAATTAAACATCTGTTTGTAGTGTAACAGGCAGTAAAAAGGCCCATACAGTTTTGGTATATGCAGAGGCATCACTTCAGGGGTCAGGGAAGTGATAGCCCTCTTCTGTGGCTCTGGTGCAAGCACACTTGGAGTATTTGAACTCCGAGCACCACATTTCAAGAACAACTACTGGCAAACTGGAGGCAATTCAGAGAAAAGCACCAGAAATGGTTAGAAGGCTAGGGACTCACCGACAAGGAAAGACTAGAGGTGTTAACAATGTATGTTTTGTGAAAGCAACATCTAAGGTAAAGGTGCACAATAGTATAGACATATCTGCAGGGTATTCACACCAAGGAAGAGAGAAATTATATTCGGTGGCAAAGGGGGTACAACTAGGAGTTTTGGGATGAAACTAAGGTAAAAAAACATTTAGAATGGACAGCAGCAAACTCTTGCTGACAGTGAAATGTATTAGGCCATTAGTCTTTCAAGTGTTGAAAGCTACATTGATTGGCAGATGTAAACCAGACTGGAAAAGCTGCAAGGAGATGGCAGCAATGTTGGCGACTCCATAGGGGCATCTCCCCTCTGAGTCAACATTAAACCACTACTCCAATACACTAGTAGGGGGATCATGCAGCTAGAATTGCAGTTTTTTGGATTAGATGTACAGCCAAAGTCTGGATTATTCAAGGTCATTATAGATCTCATCCTGTTTAAACCTTCCCTGTGGTTTCATCTGGCTCTAGATTTTTCTCCATGTCCTGCCCTTACCTGCTGTCTAGCACATTGTGTACCATCTGCTAGGCTCCATCTCAAAGATGGCAGCATTTCATTAGTGATTGAATGACTCTTATATGTACAGTCTGTAACATGCTTTGAGATGAAAGACTGGAGAAATATCAGCATGAAAATGCATACCACAGCTAAATGAAAAGAGAAGGGCAGGGGAGGGCAGCAGTGTCAGGCCAGACACTGTTGAGCTCACACAATGACCTCCGTTCTGTGACACAATGGCTGCAGATGAAGTGTCATCTTTTTATTGTGGAGTGCAAAAAGCTCTCTTGCCTGCTCGGCATGAGATACTGCCCCTATCCTTGTATATGTCTCCAGCATGCTCTGGCTTTACTCCTATCAATGATTTTGTGCCTCCACTCCTGCTAGGATACTGTTTCCTCAGACGCAAGTCCCTTGGATCCTCCCCGCAGAAATAAAACACTTCCACCAGACAGAATGGCAAGACCACATTCTGTTTAATAATAACTCTATAAGGACTGTACATGCCATTTTGGCCTACATCGTCTCCTTTTTCAGTGGCTGCTGCCACACATAGGTATGGACGTGTGTAGTGCCATATAGTTTCCTATGTCTGTATGTATAGTTTATATCTATATCTCTATATATATTTTTTTCTCATAAGTCACATTATCAAAACATGCAAAGAATAACCAGCGAAAAAATTTCAGGCAAAGAAGTTTTGGACCGGGAAGACCGAAGGCAAATCAGTTTTGTTTTTGTTTATTTGGGGGTGGCAGGGGTAGGAGGGTTTCAATGACAGACCCCCTTCTCTTCCTGCTCTTTCTTTCCCCATGAAGAGCCATTGTCCTCCACAAAATGCATCCTTGAGGGATGAAAAGAATCTCTATTCAGTCCCGCACAAAATCACACACAGCTGGGGAAGAGGGTCTTTACATTGCCCAGCTACAACCCCTCCTTGTCCTGTCCCCTTATGCTATAGCAGTTTCATATGTTGAGAATACAAAATCTTAAGCCCCAAACCTTTGGTTGCTTTTAAACATGCTTCAAGACTCCACTCCCCATTCTCCCACCCACCAATAGACACCCACCCATACCACCCAGAGATCACTGTACCTCCCACTCCCCAGCCCTTACCCACCCAACCCCAAAAAGAGCTTTTTAAAAAAGTCCTGCTCATTGTAAAATGATTTTTGATGCTCATTCTGTAGTTTGGAGGATCCCGGGGACCCATTGGGGACTACCCCAATCATGGAAGACACCCACAAAACCAGAGAAGATAAACAGAAATCAACAAACAAAATACACCTGCAAAGCTGTTTCTGCTTTTCACACTGCTCATCTGCGCACCACACGGGAACTGGATGGAGGTGGAGTGGATGCCTGTGCTTGCCTGGAATGGACTGGGCACAGCATCTAGGTCAAGAACCTGAATGGGATTTATGACCTCTAGAAAGGGAGCAGGGCAACAAGGGAAAATGCTTCTACTGGTTTTCTATCCCTCCTGCAAAGGGCTTTGGGGTTCAGGTGAACCTGGACTGGATGCCTGTGTTATCCTGGAATTAACTGTCAATGCATGACTTTTCTCCTGGGTGGAGAAGAACTTTGCCTGACAGGATGGACACTAGTTGTACCCTTGGGAGGAGCAGAACCAAAACTAGATTTCTGAAGACACTGAGCATTGACTCAGTGCAAGGTGGAAATGGAGGCTGAATTCCCACCCACCCAGTGATAAGATAGCAACTCTCCCTTCTTAAGAGTACCACTTAGCCTAACCAGGAGCCCTTACCATCATTCTAGAACAGGCAGGTTCCTTGTTGACTGCCCTGAGGAGCAACATTCATGACTGAACAGATAACCTGTCAGTCCCTACATTTCCAGGAGAAATCCTATTGTCTGGGTGGAAATATTGTCCAAAACCGGGGCCTGGCCTGGTTACATTGCTTCCATTCGAATCCAGATCTGTCTGTGCTGGGGAAATACAATACACAACCCCAGCTGGTCCATATTACTCTTGTACAGACCTATTCATATCCATACAAGGGAAGGACAAAATGTCCAAAAAAGGTCTAACTGGTACACATCACACACACCTGTACATGTACTGTCTGTGCTAGGAAGAGCCAGATATATAACAAAAACCCAGATGGTCTCTATGCTCCAATGCAGATCCTGCCATATCTGTGCTGGTAACACAGTGACCATGTGGTCTGTATCACTTCCCAACAAACCTAGAGAGCTGTCTGTGCTGGCAGGGGCCTGTGATCTCCAGCAAGGGGCCAGACATTCTGCATAGCGAGAAACACTGTGCTGGGGAGAGAGGCAGAAAGATACTGATCTGGCACAGATGTCTGTCACTCTCCTACAGATCCAGCCCTATCCATCTCACCTGGGGAGCGACTGTGATATGAAAGAGGGCCCCATCTGGCTCCATTCATAACAGACACTGCCTCTGCTGTGCTATCTAATGGGTGCACACCAAATCCATATTCTGCATATCGCTCTGTTTATCCTTCCCTTCCCTGAGTTAAGGCACAGCACATCCCTGTCAGACTCCCTCTTCTGTGCTCCAGCTAAACAGAGAATGTTAATTCCTCTCCACTTCTCTCAAGACAGCATTAAATATGCTGATTGCAGATCACTGGTGATTGCTGTATTTGGAAGGCTCTTTTGGTAACAGCAGTTTAAAATGACATTTCCCATTGTTTAGAAATGTCTGAAAATGAGGAAAATCCAAAGTGGGGTGAGATGGAGAAATTTTCCCTCATACCAGCTAGTGTGAGATAGTCTGAGCTGGCAGGAAGAAACAGTTCTAGGCTGTGAGAGAGCAAGAACCTTCTCCTTACATGGGAAGGCTGAGGTGATACCTTTCCAGATTATGCAGCTAAGCTTAATGCCAGCCTGCGCTACTCTCCAGAGTACTGAAGGGTGTTTACTTTTTACTTATCTTTTCCTCTGTCAGGACAATTAATCTGACATTTAAGCCAAATGGGACTGACTCTGGTGATTCAGGGCCTCAGCCTGTTCCCATGAAAGGCAAAGTCCCAGCTGACTTCAGTTGGAGCAGAATTGGGCTCTTACTTGGAACAGTTGCTGGCTGGTGCCCACAGGAGGAGGAATATAGTATTCTGGCTGTTCAGGGGAGACAAGGAAAGAAGTAGGTAACTTCTTGAGTGTGGAGAAATCGCTCTCTTCCTCCTTGTCTTCCAGAGGGGCAAGCTAGATGGCCTATGCATAGGCTTGGAAGGATTAGATTTTTATTGGTAACGGTCAGTAAACGCTGATTTCACTGTACACACACACAAAAACTAATGAAAAAATATTTCCATTGACAATAAATGAAATTTACAGCTAGGCAAGGTAAGAAAAATGCTGCTTGAGAACTTTGAGTTTGATCTAAAGATATTTACTTTGTATATTTTAACATGACATGTTGACAATTTGTGTTTTAACACTTATGAAGCTATATAACTTTTTGAATCTCAACATCTGTCATTAAATAATCATTGTCTGACCCACCCATAATTTCATGCAACTGTGAAAACTGAAATAGATAAAACTAGAAAAAATGCTTAAAAATAATATTGATATTATCCATCAAAATTATATATTAAAAATCTAATTCTGCCAAGCCTATTTATTCAGTACCAAGCTCTGTAACAGCACTTGAGCTACACCAGATTGGAAGAATCTCTTTCTTATTCTGTGATTAACCCCTCCCCCCAACACACACACCTTTTCAGATTTAGAAAATAGTTTCCTTTCCCCTGGCTGTCCTGCCGGCTCCACAGACAATTTCCATTTGCTGGACACAGTAAGGATGGTCCAGGCTTTAGCCACACATGTGGCCAGTCTATAAATCTCAGGGCCATTCCAACTCTCAAGTCACCTTGGAACTGGCATGAAAACAGGCATGTTCCCTGGCTGCAGAAGCTGTCTCACCCCAGGAGCCCACCACAGTCCCCAGTCCTTCTCACAGACTTGCTCCTGCCCTACAATCACAGGACAGGACTTATCAGTGGTGCTTACCTTTCCCTGTCCGCTCTGAAGTCCCAGCGTAGTCAAAGAAAAGGGGTGGAATTGGCAAGGGTGACTAGCCACTGCCTGAGATCTGTCAGTTCACATGGAAACTGAAGAGCTGCCAGATGGGAATGACTGTCAGTCACTACAAAGTAGGAACAGATTGGAACCAGTCACCTAGGAGTGGTAAGATCTGTGGCCTTTCCTTAACTCCCTGAGCCATTTCCCCAGACCGAAGGATGTATCAGAACTGATGCCCTACAGATGAATGGCCCCTTCCCCTTGTCTCATTCACCCAGCCAGTTCCCCCAGCCTGGAGCCAAATTGAAAATTGTGCTTTAGAGATGAAAGACCCTATATCTCACTTCATGATTCCCCTGAGCCAGGCACTGGAACTGGTGCCCTGGAGGTAAAGACTCCAAACCTGCGAACAACTTGTAGGTTTAACAACAGTAATGTGAACTGGACAGATGGTGACAGTAGAGGGCACAGGAGTGAGAAAGAGGTCTGTCTGTCTGAGAGCTGATTCAACTACTAGAGTCACCCATATTTAAAGAAACACTTCTCTGTTCAGCAAAGAACAGAAGTCATGGCTCCTGCTAAAGACTTAATGGCTTTACGGCGGAAAGCAAACAAAGGCAGGGAGCCCTCTAGCTACACAGCTTCAAGGAATTTTAGAAATATTTCATGAGTGCAGCTCTGTTCACAAGTGACGACTCCAGATCAAACTTACTTGACAAATAAAAAGATATTTGTTTCTGTCAGCCCTGCAAACTCAGCCTGGGCTCTGAGAGTCAAGTTGGACTCTTTCCAGATCATCCCCTAGAATAAAGGATCTGCAATTCAAATTGTGCCCCCAATGACACCTGTGGCAACCCCATGGCCTTCAGGAGGTTTGCACAGGTGTGACTAATTAGAACATAGTAAACAATTCTGCAGATGCTACACAAGAAGGAATAGGTTCCATTACCCTCTTTCTGAGCTAGGCTGGCTCTGCAGAGATAATTTGAATAAAAAGCAAGTCAAAATCTAGGGCCAAGATTTTCAAAAGGGACTAGTAACTTTGCATTCCTCTGTTTTTGGATACTTTCAGTAGACCTGATTTTCAGAAAGTGCCGAAAATCAGGGAGCCTTAAGGCATCTGAAATTGGGCCCCCAAAAACTGATGAATCCAGAACCATGTGTCACTTCTGAAAACCTTAGCAACGTGAGAAGATCTGATTCTGGATACAGGCAGGGTGCAGGCCTGTTGCATAAGGAAAGCCCATTTTTATACAGTCACTTTTTAAGGTAGAATAACATTTTGCAGGAGACTCAAAGTGACCTATCAGTTTGTTATTAATATTGTCCATTTGGGCCTCACTTAGGCAATAGTTGGAGGCCATGGGAATGCTGTGTCCAGTCAGATTCCTGGCAACGAGAAACGCATATGTGTTCTTGGATGGTGGGGACACCAGCGGAAAGTGTTGTTGTTTTTTAAAAAGGTAAGATCTTTATTTGCAAAAAAGCAAGATCTTTATGAAAAATCTTATAGAATTTAATAACGTGAAAATAATACGTTTCTGTAGAAATTACTTTAAACACCTGTAGGATTTAATAGACAATGAGATCCCATCTATAAGCTTTTGGAAACTGTGCTATAGAATTCTGTAGCAGAAGTATAATTCTCCAGAGGTCAGAAAACTCTGTGGGAAGGTTTTCATTTGCTATTACATTCTGTGGGATTTTCATAAGGTACATTTCTTTTCTTTTTCTTTTTTAGTCTTTGTTTTCCATGTAATGTGTGTCCCTCTGTCACTTCTCTCCTATGGAGAAAATGCACCTCATACATTTGTCACACATCTTACCAAATGCACAACTTGTCTGCATTAAAAAAAATAGACCTAACCAAGATGACCCCCTTGTCCTGGTCCTGTGAATGACAAGGTGGAAGCAGGATACATTTGAAGATACACTGAAATATAATTACTGTAAACATCGGTTGGTCCTGGCTAGGACCTTGGAGGCAGAATGGTTGGGAAAAAATAAGAAGCAGGCTTATCAAACCTTCCCCCCGAAAGAAACACCCCAAAGAAACACACCTTCAGTTTTCCTGCCCATGCACTTTCCCAGTTTCTCTGTTCTTGCTAGTGAGATTTCCCCAATCCATGTAGCAGCCAAACCAAAGCAGTTCAGATAAACTCAGGATAATGAGTCCTCCCGGGATTTTGGGAGGTGCTTTAGCCAACCTTCTCAACCTTGGGAGGTTGGTACCAGAACGTGTAAACATATTTAAGTAGATATTGAAACCTCATCACCCACGAAAGGAGCAACCTCCCCTGGGAAAGACAGGGAAGCTCCAAAGAAATGGGGACAAAGAGGTGGTAACAAATGCTTTTGTCTCATATCCACCCCCAAGCGTCAGCCTCACATAATCCTCCCAAACACTCCTCCCAGTGGCGTTTCCATTAGAGGTGCAGTGGAGCGGGAAGACAGATCCTCTTGAAATGGAGCTTTGCCAGAGAGACTCAGAAGTTCTCTGTGGAGTTCCCTATAATCCCAATTGCTGGTAGGAAAGGTGTGTGAGCGGAAATACCATCTCCAAGGCTCCATAATTCACCCTCCTCTTGACTCCTGGACATGATCCACTTCTGTTTTCCTGTGGCTGTCTCAGCTCCTAGCCTCCTGGATAATATTCCTGCCACATTCTCCTCTCCTGATACATACTCCTTCCCTGCTACATGGGTTGGGTTCCAAACCTGGATCAGGAGAGGAACATGCCTCACTCTCCCATCCTGCAAGCAGCAATATCAATTCTACCATCAGGGAGGAGAAGACAGAGAGGAGACAAACATCTGAATTGCAGTTGAAAATAGTGGCTCTGGCTTGGAGCAAGTGGGGAAGAGATGCCTCCGGGGTAGTGCAGAAAGAGGGCAATCTCCAGCTTGGTTCATTTATCCAGTCCCCCACCCTTAACTCACCCTTTGGTGGGACTTCTTTGTTGGAGGGATGCAATTTGCTCACACACTGCCCACATTTCAGTGAACACCCAACACTTCTACCATCCCCTGGTGGTCATGTTCTGCTATCTGAACATCTGAACAATGATTGCCCCCACACAATTTTTGTCTCCTGTTTATTCCCTAGCAAGAGCAGAGGGGAAACAATTGGTTAATACCTATTTAAAGTCCCTTCTCCTGTAGTATGTCTGCAGCAACAAGAAGGGGAATCACATGGAATCAAAACCCCATCAGTCCATGAATCATAAACTTTGTTAACAAAAATATAGAACCCGTACAAATGGGGAAAATCCCCCAAAACCCAGCCTTCCCCACCCCTGAAATAGAGATGGGAGGAATGAGAAAAAAGAAAACAGTGCCAAGGAATATTTACATTGTCAAGAAAAAACAGAAAATGTAAAGCAGGAAAGAGAAATGAATAGGAGGGAGGAGAAAAGTTTCCCTCCCACCCCCTTTCCTCCATCCACATTTGGCACCACAGAAGGATCGGGGATACTGAGAATGGTATGGCAGTTATGGTCAGTGGTGGTCAGCCCATAGGCCATTCCCTTTGTTAACCACTGTGTTTAGAACCAGTACTCGGCAATATAAACCTGTAGAAAAAGAAACAGCAACAAAAATCCAATATAAACTGGAAAATGGTGATACTGTTTGTTCCTGCTGTTCCTGGCCTCCCTGCAGAGGAAAAGAGGGAAGGATTCAGGCAGCAGCACAGAGGTGGACAAACTCCCAAATCCTCCTGGAAAGTCGGCTTTATATTACAATGTTTATATAGTAGAAAATGGCAGGTGACCCCCTCCCCGTGCATGTAGTGTCCAACACCACCTGGAAATATCCCCATGCCCACTCTCCCCCCACCCCCCGCCCCCTGGCCTGTTCTCCTGCAGCTCCCAGGCAGACAGACATGTCAGCGGGAGCAAAAGAAAAATGTTTCAAAGAGACCGAAGCACAGCTGTTGCTGTATGGGTTGAGGTCTGTATCCACAGAGCCTCACCATCCGTACCAGAGCACAGCCCGTGTCCACAGAGCCACACCATCCGTACCAGCACACATCCTGTATCCACAGAGCCTCACCATCCGTACCAGAGCACAGCCCGTGTCCACAGAGCCACACCATCCGTACTAGAGCACAACCCTTGTCCACAGAGGTATGCCATCCTTACCAGAGCACATCCCGAATCCACAGAGCCACACCTTCCATACCACAGTACAGTCTGTATCCACAGAGCCTTGGTTCTCATATCAAAGAACTGTACAGTATTTATCCATATAGCTCATCCATCCTATTAGTGCAGTGGCTATATCCATACAGCCTTACCCTGTATATCAGCCACAATCCCTGTATCAGTGCAACCTATATCTGCACAGTCTTGTGCCCTGTTCAAAACAGACTCTGTATTCACATATCCCATGGATCAAAGCAGATTGTAGCCCCAAAACAACATCCATTCTGCCAAGATAGATCCTATCCATACAGCCACATCCTTGTATCAAGCCACTGTTTGTATCTTGGGAGCCACATCCCAGCATCTGAGCAGTCTGAATCCAGAGCCAAACCCTTGTATCAAAAAGATTTAAAGTCCAGAGTTCCCTGAGCCCCCAGCATGCTGTCCAGAGCAGTGGGGCCAGGGGATCAGTCCATGATGGTGGGCAAGGAGGGCTCCGCCCCTGTCAAACACCTCCAGTCCTTTACTTCCCTTTTGTTAAAAATTAAATGTCTGAATGAAAGATGTGTCCGCCTGGGAACCTGGGGAGAGGTTTTCCTGTCATTTCATTCCCCCCTCCCCTCCCATTTAGTAATGGTGAAAGATTCCTCACTGGCAGCATCAATTGTTTGCTTCCCCCTCCTCCTCATCAAAGGATTGCACCCCAGATGAGGTGACATCTGAGACCTTGCGGCTGAGTGCGGCATGTTCCAGCTCCTCCCGAGGTGACAGTGACTCCAGGTCCCGGCATACAGCATCGTCCTCCTCTGGAGAGGTCTTCTTGTTTAGCAGCGGGGCCTTCTCCAGTAGTGGGTTCCCTTCCTCCTCTGTGTGCACCCCCATGTATGTGCTGGATTCAGCCCCACCACCACCCCCTGCAGCAGTCTGAGGGGGCCACATGTCAACGAGCCCTGGGTTCTGGAGCAAGGCCTGTGGTTGCTGCTGCTGCATCTGATGCTGCTGGATGAGGCTACTCTGAATCAATGTGCTCTCCTGCAGGTTGGACTGGGTCTCCTCAAAGTTCTGGCCTAGGTAGGAGCCAGTAGCCGGGGAAGCAATGAGGGATTGGTCACTGGTCTCCCAAGCATCAGAGGAGCCCAGGCAATACATGCCCTGAGAAACATAGGAGTGGGGCCAGCTGTCATACTGTGTCTGGGCCATGTGATCTGCAGAAAGAGAAGGGGGAGAGTGAAAGGGGAAAAGAAAGAGTGCAAAGGGAGGAATTGGAGAGAGAGAATGAGAAAGAGAGTGAGACAGAGCAACAGAAACAGGGAGAGACAGAGGGGGGAGATCAGAGAGAGGTGTCGGGGAGGTCAGGAAAAGAGAGGGAGGGCAAGATGGGAGCCATTGGAAATGGCAGACAGACAGATCTGCAGAACCTGGGTATACAGGTGATTGATTCCAGCAGATGCTGGCCTCCCCTGCTGTGCCCAGAGGCCTAGGAGAATGGGGTCTGGAGCTTGTCTGCTGGGCCCTGACTCTACGGGGAGCTCCATGAGTGGGGAATATTCCTCTCTCTGCCAGATCTCAGCTCAAGAGAAAGGGTAACAGTGACTCCCTCAGAGGATAAAGAAACTAGTAGGGATGGAAAGGAGCCTGGCAGCAAGGATGGGGGAGGGCAGGGACGTCCCAGGACCAGCAGGAAGGGGGTAGGGCTCACCCTGGTTCTCCATCAGCTCCTGGTAGTTCTCACTGTAGTTGCCTGCTGGGTTCTCCTGGTTGGAGTTGACACTCACATCCTCACCATCCATGGAGGACCAGGCCATGAGAGTGGCCTCAGAGATGGCGAACTGCTCCATCACCCCTACACCAGAGAGAGACAGGGAGAGGCAGTGGAGACATGAGGAGCTCCCCATGTACCCCCACCTCACTGACACCCCTGAAACACTGATCCTTCCTATTCCTGTCTCAATGATATCCCCTGCTCTGACCTGCCCCCCCTCATGCATATCCCCCAGCGAGTCCCTCCTGCCCCCATCTGAGCTGCACCTCCCCAGCCGATCTGTGTGCATTCCCCAGCAATTTTCTTCTCTGGATCTCTCAGGCTCCCCTTTCTCTCTCTCTGCTCTCAGACACCCCAGATCCCTGGTGTGGGGGAAGTCAGCACTACCTGCAAGGAATCGGGCCTCCTTCTCACCGTCGCTCAGGTCTGAGTAGGCATCAGCATCCTTGCGCACCGCCTCATGTGTGTGCTGTTGTTGCTGGCTGTTACCTTTGCCCCAGCCTTGCCACTCAATCATGTGAGCTACACGACCCTGTCCCATAGCCGTTGGCTTTGTGACGTGATCCTTCATGCTGCGGGATATCCCTAAGGGGCCAGACATCAGAAAACAAGGAGGGGCTATTACACAGCTCCACGGCTGTTTGTCACTCTATTCACCCTTCCCTGGAAAGGGGCTCCCCCCATCGTCCCCTGGACTCCTTCCCTTAGATGGTGCCCCCTCCCTCCCTTGCTGTGGGGCTCAAAAGGCCTATTAAGCAACTCCAGGAGTTGAAATTGCTCTGTATACCCCTCCCTGATATGGTTTGCCATCATTTCATGGATCGGGTCCCATTGGGGGTGCAGTAAGGAAAGGAGGAGAAACCCAGAAGTGAAAGACCCTGGAGAAAGAATTCTTTTTTTTTTGCCCAGCACAGAGTTCAGTGTTAGGGGAACAGTGGGTACAAGGGGAAAATCCCAGAACTGGATGAACTAGGAGACTGAAAAAGGGTCTCCTCCCAGGGCAGTCTTGAAGGAAAGTAGTTGAAGAGGTCTGAGCATGGGGGCACAGTGAGAAGAGCCTGAGGGGTATGAGACAAACTTGAAGTTTTAAGAGGCAACAACTGGGATAGGCTTGAGGCTAAGCAGTTGTGGATTAGAGAGGTCTTTAGTTGGGCAGAGCAGTGAGGAGAGGACAAGGATTAAGGGGCAGCAATAAGAATAACAGTGAGGAGAGGCCTCAGATTAGGGGGCAGCAGTTAGGAGATCAGCAAGTAGAAGAGGCCTCTGGTTACGGGGCAATGGTAAGGAGAAGTCTCAGGTTGAACAGAGAGTGGGAAGACACCAGGGAAACCCTGCTGCTGCCCCACAAACCCAGGTGTCTCCCCACTCTCTGTTCAACCTGAACAAATGGGGAGAGGCCCAAGGTCAAAGGGAGAGGAGCAGTGGCAAATAAACCCAAAACAATGGGGAGAGGCCCCAGGTCAAAGGGAGAGGAGCAGTGGCAAATAAACCCAGGTTTGAGGTTCTCACCAGAGAAAGACGACTTAGCCAGAGCCCCGATTCCATAAGCATTGGAGTTCCGCTTCAGCTTGGGGAGAATGGAGGTTGTGTCTTCCATGGAAAGCTGAAAAGAGAGAGAGCATGAAGGTGTGAAAGAGAGGGAAAGATGAAGGAAAAAGAAAACAAGAGAAGGAGAAGAAGGGGATGGAAATGAGAGATCAGTTGAAGAGTTCGGGAAGGATGGGAAGCAGAAGAAAATGACAAGAGAAGGAATACAAAGAGAAGGGGAAAAGGGGATGCAATATAATCTGCGACAAAGAATCTGCATGACTCCCTTTGCAGGGCTGCATGAGGTAAGAGCAGGGTTGAGGGGGAGGCCCCTCTCTGTGGGGATGTTGCCCTTCCTCCATCTCTCTTTTGATGACTGTGGTGAGTTTTTCTTTATGGTGACTGCTGGTTTGGGGTGCAAGGAGTAGGGGTTGAGGGTGAGGAGGTGTGATGTTATTGACATGAACTGTGACTGTATAGACCATTGTTGTAACCAAGGTCCTATAGTGGCACCAAATCTTGTACAAAGGAGGTCACATAAGGTGTCCATTAAAAGGTTATGATTTGCTGGTTATGATTTTGCTATCTGTATGAATGTATCATTTTTGTATTTCAAGTTATAAATATTGGATCTATACTGTCTGTATTTCAAACTTGTGCTATGATTCTGGGTGACACCCCAGACAATTTGGTGTCAGCTCTGCCTAACTTGCTTGATGGCCCATTAAGGACCATCAGCTATACAACTGACCCATTGAGAGAAAGCAGATACACCTTGTAACTCAGCAAGGCATGCAGGGACATACCTATGGACAGAACTCTAAGGTTTTTCCATGCCATGGGCTGGGTGGCTTGTGGTTGGAACAAAGAAAGCACAAGTCACATGGCAAAAGGACTATAAAAGGCATCATCATCATCTCCATTTTGTCTTCAATCCTGCTTCTGACCTCTGGAAGAACTGTGCTTGAAACTGAAGCTCTGAACAAAGGACTGAATGACCCATCCCAGATGTGGATGTACTCCAGAGACTTGATTTGAGCCTGCAGTTTATTCCATCACTGCTACAAGCCTGAACCAAGAACTTTGCCATTATTGTATGTAATTGATTCCATTTAACTAATTTTAGCTCTCATCTATATTTCTTTCTTCTTATGGATAAACCTTTAGATTTTAGATTCTAAAGGATTGGCAACAGCATGATTTGTGGGTAAGATCTGACTTGTATATTGACCTGGGTCTGGGGCTTAGTCCTTTGGGATCGGGAGAATCTTTTTTCTTTTACTGGGGCATTGGTTTTCATAACCATTCGTCCCCATAACGAATGGCATTGGTGATGATACTGGGAAACTGGAATGTCGAAGAGAATTGCTTATATGACTTATGGTTAGCCAGTGGGGTGATACCGAAGTCCTCTCTGTTTGGCTGGTTTGGTGTGCCTTAGATATGGAGAACCACCAGCCTGGGGCTGTGACTGCCCTGCTCTAAGTAATTTCTCCTGAATTGATACTCTCAGTTGTGTCCCGCCAGAGGCCGCGTCGTTACAGGAGGTGACAGCACAACAGGGCAGGAGGCAAGAAGAAGTAATAACAGGGGAAGAATATGCTTTTGGCCATTGTTTTCTCTCACATTTTAAATAATCTGTAATGAAAAAAACAAAATGAAGAAGCATGTGTCAGCGATGATTCGCTCTTTATTCTGTCCATTCACAGCTACAAAAAAAATACACAAACAAACAATAATAATGGCCTCATCCTTGTAACTCCCAGCCATTCCCCTCTCTATACTCAGCCTCAACTCTAGAGAGAGGGGGACACTAAACCACCACAGGAGAGAGGGGTTAATTGGCGTTTGTTTCTCCTAGGAGTGCATTCATCCCCTTCTTCCTTGGGAATGACAGGGTTTTGAACTCCACATGCTCCTCCACAAGGGCTAGTTTCTCCAGCTAAATCCATCAGGTTCCCTCATCTATTCCAGCCAAAATCATCAGACTTTGGGGTTGCTTATAAAATTGGGCACCTATGGGCTGATTTTCACAGGGGCTGAGCAACCACTGCTCCCACTCCCAACAATTACAGGTGAAGATATAGGTGAACAGCCCTTCTGAAAATCATAAGAGCATAAGAATGATACTGGGTCAGATTACTGGTCCATCTAGCACAGTATCCTGGCTCTGACAGTGGCTGATGCCATATGTTTCAGAGGGAATTAACAGAACAGGACAATCATCAAGTGATCCATCTGTCATCCACTTCCAGCATTTGACAGTCAGAGGCTTAGAGTTATAGTTTTTGCCTTCACAACATCCCCTGGCAATGAGTTCCACAGGTTGACTGTGCGTTGTGTGAAGAAGTACTTCCTTTTTGTTTGTCTTAAGCCTGATGCCTATTAATTTCATTGGGTGATCCCTTGTTCTTGTGTTATGTGAAGGGGTAAATAATACTTCCTTATACACTTTCTCCACAGCATTCGTGATTTTATCATCTCTTCTCCAAGTTGAAAAGTTCCAGTTTTTTTAATCCCTTCTCATATGGAATCTGTTCCGTATCCCTGATAATTTTTGTTGCCCTTTTGTTTTCATTTCTAATACATCTAATAATCAGGCCCAGAGTGTTTCAAGCTGGGCACCCAAAAATGAAGGCACTCAAAATTAATGGCACTGTTTTGCTGGAAGGTGTTAATAGCTGCTATCAAGCAATTGTTTGATCTAGGGGCAATCACAGAACTTGCTAAGGCTGATGAGTGTGCCAGCTACCCTTCATTCAGGTTAAATGGAAGAAGCAATTAAGTGCCTTTATGGAATAAGATTTCTGGAGACAGTGGAAGCCACCGTCCAGGGCACTAAGCCACATGCAAGGCCAATCAGAAGCTAAGCAATATGGCCAAGGGATTTCCCTGGAGATTGATCTGGGCCACTGATTAGTTGGAGTTCTGTATGTGTCTGCATGTGTCACAGGGAGAAAGCAACAAGAAAGCCAGAGAGCAGTTATGAGTATGGCCATGAAAGGAAGCAGAGGGACAGAGCTCCTTGGGACACAGGATTGGCTGAAAAGGCAGCCTTTGGAACTGTGAGCAAGGAAACTGCCTGTTGCTGTTTGTTTCTATTACAATCAGGGAAACAGGACTTTGTACATTCTTTGTAAATAAACAGGTTTGCACCAAAGAAATACCTGACTGTATCATCAATTTCTCCTTCTCACAGAAATAATCCAGCAAGGCCCCAAATATTGGATAACCGCTCAAGAAAGTGGTCAACAGGAATTTTTGAAACAATGGTCCTTGGAGTGTAAATAATTGTATACACAGGGAACGCATGCAGGTATTGTTTAGTGCAAGGATTTTATCAGCAGGAATTTGGGATGGTTCCATTACTCACTAGTGACAAAGCCACAAATCATCCAAGTGCCAAAAAAACTTTTTCTTCCACCACACCACCATGGATTCTGTACATGCCACAGATTTTACAGGAATACTATGTTAGGAACATTTTAAAGAATTTTTACAAAATTTTATTGGAACTCTAATTAGTATATTTCTATACTTGTATCCAGTCGCCCGGGTTACCTACTGTACAGGGCTCAGATGAAGCCATGGAAACTGCAAATAACATCTTTATTAATTAGCATTTTGATATATGAACAAATAATGATTTTAAGATCTGATAATTCAGGCACTACCAGTCCTACTTGTTCACTGGAAGCTGGGAATTCCCTTTCAAGTGATATGAAGTTCCTATTTCTAGCTTAGCAGTGACATGAGATTTGAAATGAGATTTTAAATCTGTCAGTGGCATGGGATTGAGTCTCATCTATCCTGGATCTCAGGCAGGTGCAGTTATGGGGAGAAATTTATACTTGTAGGAAGGAAACAGCTCTGTGCCTGGCTGATTTTGGAAAATGGTGATTGAGTAAGTACAGAGTGCTGGAAGGAGTCCCAAGGGAGTGGGCACAATGAGGGCTGAAAGATAGGGAAGCACAAAAAAATGCGAGCCATCTGATACATGTATTTATCCCCTGGAGACCAGCTCCACGTACTGTACATGGTGAGACACACAGAGTTATTGTTGGTACAGTTCTTCTGGGACTTGTGGTAGAGATGAGTCTTCATTAAGGACCTGAATGTGCAGAGGAGGTGGCCTGAAGAACAGGGATAAGATCAAGGAAAGCATTTCACACATAGGGGTGGAGTGGAAAAGGGCAAAAATGGAAGTGGACAAAGGAGGGGAATATGATTTCAAGGCTGATTGTCACTGGTGGAATAGAGGGCAATGTGATAAGACTCAAGGCCTTTGCCCATTATCTTTGAAAACTCATGGCGATCGGGGAAGGTCCCGGATGACTGGAAAAAGGCTAATTTAGTGCCCATCTTTAAAAAAGGGAAGAAGGAGGATCCGGGGAACTACAGGCCAGTCAGCCTCACCTCAGTCCCTGGAAAAATCATGGAGCAGGTCCTCAAGGAATCAATTCTGAAGCACTTAGAGGAGAGGAAAGTGATCAGGAACAGTCAGCATGGATCCACCAAGGGCAAGTCATGCCTGACTAATCTAATTGCCTTCGATGATGAGATAACTTGGCTCTGTGGATGAGGGGAAAGCAGTGGTTGTGTTATTCCTTGACTTTAGCAAAGCTTTTGACACGGTCTCCCACAGTATTCTTGCCAGTAAGTTAAAGAAGTATGGGCTGGATGAATGGACTATAAGGTGGATAGAAAGCTGGCTAGATCGTCGGGCTCAACAGGTAGTGATCAATGGCTCCATGTCTAGTTGGCAGCTGGTATCAAGAGGAATGCCCCAAGGGTCAGTCCTGGGTCCGGTTTTGTTCAATATTTTCATTAATGATCTGGAGGATGGCGTGGATTGCACCCTCATCGAGTTTTCAGATGACATTAAACTGGGAGGAGAGGTAGATATGCTGGAGGGTAGGGATAGGATACAGAGGGACCTAGACAAATTGGAGGATTGGGCCAAAAGAAATCTGATGAGGTTCAACAAGGACAAGTGCAGAGTCCTGCACTTAGGATGGAAGAATCCCATGCACTGCTACAGACGAGGGACTGAGTGGCTAGGCAGCAGTTCTGCAGAAAAGGACCTAGGGGTTACAGTGGACAAGAAGCTGGGTATGAGTCAGCAGTGTGCCCTTGTTGCCAAGAAGGCCAATGGATTTTTGGGATGTATAAGTAGGAGCATTGCCAGCAGATCGAGGGACTTGATCGTTCCCCTCTATTTGACATTGGTGAGGCCTCATCTGGAGTACTGTGTCCAGTTTTGGGCCCCACACTACAAGAAGGATGTGAAAAAATTGGAAAACGTCCAGCGGAGGGCAACAAAAATGATTAGGGAACTGGAACACATGACTTATGAGTTTAGGCTGAGGGAACTGGGCTTGTTTAGTCTGCGGAAGAGAAGAATGAGGGGGGATTTGATAGCTGCTTTCAGCTACCTGAAAGGGGTTTCCAAAGAGGATGGATCTAGACTGTTCTCAGTGGTGGCAGATGACAGAACGAGGAGTAATGGTCTCAAGTTGCAGTGGGGGAGGTTTAGGTTGGATATTAGGAAAAACGTTTTCACTAGGAGGGTGGTGAAACACTGGAATGTGTTACCTAGGGAGGTGGTGGAATCTCCTTCCTTTGAGGTTTTTAAGGTCAGGCTTTATAAAGCCCTGGCTGGGATGATTTAGTTGAGGATTGGTCCGCTTTGAGCAGGGGGTTGGACTAGATGACCTCCTGAGGTCCCTTCCAACCCTGATATTCTATGATTCTATGATTCTAAGGTCAAAGATTTAGATCAGAGTAGAGTTGTGTAGGGTTTTGATAAAAAGTGTGGAAGCCAGTGTAGGGATTCAGGTGTGTGCGTGCATGTGTGTGTGCATGTGAGAGAGAGAGAGAGAGAGAGAGAGAGAGAGAGAGTGTTCCTTATCCCCTGACAGTTGTGGCAAAACCTACATCTAGTACCTGGCTTCACTTGTATATTTTTCCCCTTGGGTATCGATTTATTTCAGCTGACCCACAAGAAAACATGTACTCTCTTTTTCATAAAAAAACCCCAAACCCAACTGTGGACAATCATATGAACAGACTTGTGAAGAGTAGAGAATAAAATTATGTGATGGATCTGCAAAGCAGGAAACGACAACTCCCATCAGCTCTCTCCACATTGTACATTCCCTTTCCCCTGGCTAGTGGCCACATATGGGGAAAGGCCCTGAACCAGGAAGTGTCTGGGATCAGTTGACGAGGAGTAGAGGTTGTGGGAAGGGGAGCAGAAGCAGTGGCCACATGGTGGCAGTGGGGAGCTGGAGAGAAGCTAGAGGCAGGAACAGTTGCAGAGCTGTTTGTGGATTGGGCTGTGACTGCCTGGCATCACAGCTGGGTGCAGGGCTGTGCAGAGTTTATGGGGGAGCAGCAGCGGCTGGACAGGGAGCCAGTACAGAGGGGCCCCAGTGAGACACTAACTGAGCCTGTCCTGGAACCATGCAAACTCCTATTTGCGTGAATAGAGACTGGGCTGGAGAGGACATCCTAGGCACTAGGCCTGAAGAGTCCTGACTCTCTATTGGACTGCCCCGTGGACCAAAACAGGAACCACTGTTGCTCCCTTTGAACTGTAACTGTTTAATCCTCTGTACCTAGGGTATCTGTAATCTTTCCCCTTCCTGCCAGCCCTAGGAAAATATCTTTTCCCTTAGCCATGTGTCTGAGCGGTTAGTGGGACCCATCAGGGTTAAGCCTACAAGGCCTAGTTGCTGAAGCACTTATAGTGCTTGCCTTGGAGTCGCAGTATACCTGGCACTAGGGTTGCCAGGTGTCCAGTTTTTGACTGGAACGCCCCGTCGAAAAGGGACTTCGGCAGCTCCGGTCACCACCACTGACTGGGCCATTAAAAGTCTGGTCAGTGGTGCAACAGGCTCCAGGGCTGTCCTTAGGCAATAGCAGCATATGTAGCTGCATAGGGCATCCGAAAATTTGGGGCATCCCTAGGTCTTAGTGTCCACCCTTCTGCCTCTTCCTATCCCTGTTCTGACCCTTTCTGCAGGTTCGCAACACAGCTGGCTGCTGCAGCCTGGTGAGTCTAGTACTTAAAAGCGAAAAAGCCTTCCAGCCTGCCAGACCTATTAGCACAACACTGAAACTGTTAAAGAGTCACTCAAGTGGTAATGAAGCCATTTAACAGGCATTTGCCAACCTCCAGGTATATACTGTCAGTTTCTGAGTTTACTACAAAAACAGCTGTGCATTACTGTTTAAAATTTGCTTTAAAAATATTTCATTAGTGTGTTGCTGAAGATTATAAAATCACATCTCTAAAAAATCCTTGCATAGATTTTTAGGTGCACAATCTGAGTATTCATCTTTAGCCTTAAATGCTCGGATCTTCAGACATATAGTTTTTTAAATAAATCCTTCAAAAGACCACCCTTATCTAAAATACATGTGTGAGCCCGGGCTGCCGTCGGTCATAGGGGCACCAGTTTAATAATACTGCATAGGACACCATAAATCCTAAGGATGGCCCTGGCAGGCTCCCTGCCTGCTCTGGCTCTGTGCGGCTCCGGGAAGCGGCCGGCATGAACCTGTGGCCCCTAGGTGCAGGGGCAATCAGGGAAGCTCTGTGAACTGTCCCTGCCCTGAGCGCCACCTCCGCATCTCCCATTGGCCAGGAACTGCAACCAAAGGGATCTGCGGGGGTGGTGCCTGCTGGCATGGAGGTACCTGGCTGCCCCTGCACCAAGGAGCTGGGTTGGACATGCTGGCTGCTTATGGGAGCAGCGCGGAGCCAGGGCAGGCATCCCTGCCTTAGCCCCCCTGCGCCGCTGCCCGGCTGGAGCCCACACACTGAACCCTCTGCCCCAGGTCAGAACCCCCTCCCACACCCTAACCCCCTCCCAGAGCCCACACCCCAAACTCCCTCCCCCTCCCTCAGGTTGGAACTCTGTCCCGTACCCTGACTCCCTCCCAGAGCCTGCATCCCAACCCCAGCCCTGAGCCCCCTCCCAGAGCCCACACCCCACGCCTCCTCCCACACCCCAAACCCCTACCCCAGCCCTGAGCGCACTTCCACACTCAGAACCCCTCGGCTCCAGCCCAGAATCCCCTCCTGCACTCCAAGCCCATCATCTGCACCCTCAACTGGAGCCAGCACCCCCTCCAGCACCCCAACCCTCTGCCCCAGCCCAGTGAAAGTGAGTGGTGGTGGGGGAAAGCAAGCAACAGAGGGAGGGGGGAATGGAGTGAGTGGGGGTGGGGACTTGGAGAAGGGGCGGAGCCTTGGGGAAGGGGCGGGGTAGGGGACAGGGCAAGAGTGTTTAGTTTTGTGCCATTAGAAAGTTGGCAACCCTACTGCACTGCTTGCACCTTTACGGTGTGGGTTACTCCATTTCTGAGCAGTCCCAATAATCACATGACATGAGCTCATATCTCATGAGCTGCCAGTGCTAGAAATACTTTTGGGGGAACCAGTACAAATGGCTTCAGCACCAGGAAACTTTCCTCTGCACTGATATTGCACTAGCGAGCAGAGAAAACAAACACAAATATGGTCATTGCAGGTTAAATATGACCTGCAAAAGGGGGAGAAGTGGGAGCAATGGCTTGTATCTTTTCTCTTTTCCTTACGGTGTATGGGAAAAGCTTTGTTTTTAATCTATGCCTTTGCCTGTTGTTTTTTTCCCTCCCTGTTGACAACAGTGGTCAGTGCTGGATACTCCAGAGAGAAGCATAAAACCCGAAACCTCATTGTATAATGCTGTCCTGTAAGGATACATTTCTTCCTAACCTCTGAAGGTGATATTATGCCCTGATCAAGAGTATTAATAGCCAGATATGCTACAGATATACCTCAATAATCCAGCCATACCCAGAAACCCCAGGAAAGCACCCGAAATAATCTAGCAGCCTCAGAGATCACACATAGGCACCCAAAGATGGCTAGAGATAGCTCAAGATCCAATGGCACCTACAGAGCCCACAGTTATCTCCACTAGCAAAACACCAGAGGACCTGGAGACAACCCAAATCCACCAACACACAGATACTCCCCAAAATATTACTGCAAGGTCTATCAACAGCCAGACACCCCATAAAGATGCCCAGAATTTCAGTGGCACTCCAGGTCCCCAGAGATATCTCCATAATTGTGTTCACTATTCATAGTGACAGAGTTAGACATATTCTGTTAATCCTGGGGTGCCACTCAGTGAAAACTTGAACATCCTCATCAGCTGTGCAAATGCTCCTTTGCTGCCTCTCATTAAAGGAGGAGGGCTTCAGGGTTTATACTCACATTAATACCATCCCAGGAGAAATCTGTCCGGGTTTGCTATGGAAGAAAGAGAACATGTTAATGTAACACATGGGTGTAGTGTGTGCGACCATGTATTTCTCTAGTGGCTGGTCCTAATGATTATAACAGCCTGCTACTTACTCACAGATAAAGGAGTTACTCCTTTAGCTCAAGTGGTATGGGCTTGTGCTTTTGGTTCTGAAGGTCCCCGTTTCATTCCCTCCTGATCACTGTGGTGTCTGTATGTATGCGGCCATGGTTTATGACATAAGGGAGTGGGAATATACAAAGAAACACAGAGAGAAAAAGAGAGTGAGACAGACAATATATAACCCTCTGATAGGAATCCCCTGCATTCACACTGCCTTCCTTCTCTGAACATTGTGCACTGGCAATGTCAGATATTTTCAAAGAGGATGAATTTGTCAGGTCCTTATTTCAGGGCAGTAACAAGTGCATAACCCTTTGTGGGAGCTGCACGGCCCTTGGACTCACTCAAAGAGGAACTAGAAAACTAGAATATTTCAGACGAAAATGGTTCTATAACAGGGTACAAAACCATTCACTCCTGAAGTGGTTAAATGCATCCACAGAAAACCAATCTTCCTTCTGCAAACCAGTTCCAAGTGTCCCCTTCTGCCACTATAGTGCTAGTTCATGGAGGATCTCCTTGAGTTACTTATCTCCTGTTCATGGCACAACTCCCTAAAACAGGAGCTTCTGGGAGTTACACTCCACAGTTGAAGAAATGCTGAATCAAGATGCAATTCTTATATATTGTTATTTTGTAATGTGTAAAATTGTATGTGCTTTGTAAATTAACATGGCATGGCTACTGAATAAAAAGATCCGTGATCTTTTTTGTTTAATGTGAAAGGTCTTGTGATTGCATGCACTGGACATTACAAAACAGAAAACTCATATGTGTTAAATTACAGAAGCTGCATCATTCAAAACATGAAATGAATCAGCACAGGAGATACTGCCCAATAATTTAACAGCAGAGATTTAACCGTGAATACCCCCTAAAAAACGTAACGAGAGACTAAAATGCTCTTTGTGTGGAAGAAAAATCTAATAGGCCTAAACTAATAGGCCTAAAACTTTGGTCAAGCTAACTGTGTGTTTAAAGCATAAGAGGGTGAGGAAAATTCTATTAAGACGCAGATAGCAACAGCTCAGCTTAAAAATGTAACCACAACCGCTAGAAGTTAGAAAAGACTGTTAACCACAAAGGAAGCACCTGTCAATAACAGGTAAAACTTGTTTTACTATATTCCAAATAAGGCAAAGCTACCATTGAAGCTTGCACTATATGCTAAATAAGGAAAATGCTGTTGAAGGAAAAGTGCTTAACAGATTGTGGTTTTCAGCTATATAAGCTCCTGTATTTTCTGTTCATGTCAGAGCAGCTCCGGCTGACTCTCTCTGTATGCACATACTTAAATAAAGCGGGTCTCAGGCTTGGTTCTGATCCAAGCACAATGTGTGGTTAATTTTTCCACTACAATCTTGGTGCCGTGACTCGGATAGACAGCAACCCCCGAGAGCCGGAGGACCGTGAGCTGTTCCCCACCAGACCCCGGGCCCATCAGAAAGGTAAGAGACCTTTTGAAATCTCTATATTGGGTTTCTGGTGGAGGACTGCCCGTAGGCTCTGGGCTTGGGTGAGTTGTACGCTCTATCCGGACCTTTTGCTGCCAGACACGCCTGACGCCCTTGTGGTGGGTTAGAGTCCAATCCAGCTTTGGTTTCCCCAGGAAAAGCCACTGGTTGTGGCTGGGCAGGTCGTGGATAGATATGGGTCCATGTGCCAGTGTGAAAGTGAAGGTTGGTAGACCGGTGTGAGTGTGAGTCACAGGAAGACTCCCAGAGTGCCCTGCAAAGTCAGAGGTGTCTCTAAAGCAAGCCCTGTGACTCCATCTAGTGGGCATTGTGACAAATGCCCTGACCTCGGCAGTTTCTCTCTGCATGGCATGGCATGACCGGCGAGGGGCCTGTCTTGGTCTAGGAGTGTGTGATCCTATCCCTTCCGTCCTCGGACAGTCTGTTTCCGTACCCTCTTTCCTCCCCTGTCTCTAGCTCCTGCCCAGAAGGCGGCTTAACAAGCCACTGACTGGTCTGATCACCTCACCTGAAGCAACCGAGTATGTGGTGCCAGCCAATGCTCTTTGCTGAAGGCAGGCTGTAAGACAGTTGTGGAGACCCTAAACAAAACCTTCCCTGTGTGAGTGTGATGAGTGAATTGAGGTAAGTACTGGGGGCCGTGAAATCCAAAAAGGATTCCCCTCTCACCAGGTGAAGTACTGGGGACCAGAGGATCCAAGAGGATTCCCCTCTCACTAGGTACAGATGGGGGCCGGTGAGTCAAAAAGGATCACCATCCAGCCAAAAGGCACACCGGCATGTACGCAAATTATAGCCCTTTCACTTGCAAGTTTTTAGAGAAATGGAATTGGTATACCAGGGATGATCCGAAATTACAGTTTCCCCTAGAGGGAAGTTTCGACCTTGTCAAGATTGTGCACCTCTGAGGCGCACTTCTTGCCAATAATGTCGGACAAGGTCAGTTTGATGCATATTTCGATTGGTATGGGAAAACAGAAAAATGGCGCCGTGAATCTCAAATGAGGAATCTGAAGGACTCCCAGGAGAAACTTAAAACACGATTAAAAGAGGCAAAGGAGAAATTAACTCTTTCCCAAACCCCAGCTGGCCAGCAAATACCCCTTTACCCTTCAAGGCCCCTTCAGAAAAAACCCTCGGCCCCATTCACTGATCTTATAGATTTATACTTAGAATGTAGACAGCTGACTGCCCCTACATCACCTAGACAGGCAAGTGCAGGTCCATCCACTCAGGGCAGAACAAATGGAGAGGGCAGTGGACCCCACACACCTCCATCAGACTACAGTCTGGAGGCTGACTCCACTATCCAGGGACCCCTGCTCCAAGCAGTAACACCAATGTCAGCATCTACTTCACCCCCTTCCCCTGAGTTGCCCTCATATCCCACAGGGAGACCAACCACTACCCTAGCAGACTCGGTCCAATACAAAGACAAACTGCCGGAAGTTCATCTGGACTGCCGGCAAGGAATACTAGACAACAGAAGTTACAATCCCAGGGGCCCCTCTCCCCGTCATGTAACAGTGTTCCCCTTGCACCAACTCCTAGGCCCAAGTGTTGATAATTCGGGTCAGGCAATCCTGGTGACTATACACGCCCCTTGGTCTCCCACAGATCTGTATAATTTGATTGAAAAATTTCCTAAAATAAGGGAAGACCCCATCAAATTTCAAGAAGAATTAAAAACAGTCATAAGCTGTTACAACCCTAACTGGGCAGATTTAAATCAAATCCTAAGAGGAGTCCTGTCCAGGGAAACATTAAATCACCTCCTACAAGAGGCCCAGTGGCCCAGCGATGACCAAGGCCATAATAGGAACTTAAACACAGACAGGAACAACCTGCTAGATGCAGTTCTCAAAATCTGCCCAAAAAGGCAGATTGGACTAAAATTAGTGCTTGTAAACAAAATAAAGGAGAAAACCCTGCTGATTATATGCAGTGCATTAAGCAGGTTTTCAAGAGATATTCTGGCATAAATAATGTAGAGGAAGATGCTAAACAAGACATAGTGGCCGCTTTTGTCCAAGGACTCAATCCACGATTGGGAGCCCAATTAAAAATTGGTACCATAGATTGGGAAGGAAAAAACCCAGATGAAATTCTAGCAGTTGCCCAGCATTACTACCGTCAGTTAGAAAAGAAAAAGGACGACATTGAAACTAAATTAATGACCCTCCAGATCCAGAATATACTGAAACCCCACAGCAACCGCCCGTTAAGGGGAAGAGGAGGGAGACCCAACAGAGGTCCCCACTGTCCCCCTACTCAGGGGCAAACCAATGATGCCTGTTACTGTTGCGGACAGGTGGGCCATTGGAAAAGTAATTGTCCCAATTGCTTTAACTGACCAATCGACCCTGCCCTTGCACTGCAATATTCTTCCACAGTTCCTTTGTGCCCTCAAAACCGTTAGGATAGCCAGGAGATGGGTAATTTCATTGCTCCATTTGTCTCTTTAAACCAAACAGGACCATATGTAAACTGTATAATTAATGGCAGCCCTACCTCTTGCCTGCTAGATATCGGTGCCTTGTGGTCCACCCTCCACGCGGGCGACTTCCCTTCCCTTCCAGTAAGCTCCAAAATAGTAAATGCAGTAGGAGTGAGCAACACTCCTATTCCCCATCCCGTCTTCTCACCTCTGACTGTCTCTACCGGTCCTCTGTCTGAGCACCACGCTTTCCTCCTCAGCCCCTGCTCACCTGTTAACCTTTTGGGAAGAGACTTGCTGTGCAAATTAAATTGTACAATTTATTGTACCCCAGATGGTGTGTATTTGGATTGTTGGATCATATTAAAGAAGTTCTTTATTAAAATCACAAATGAGTTTGATTCCCCATAGTTTAAATTCCAGGGTATTACTAATTAAGAGGTCTCTTGGTTTTTGGTACTGTTTCTCTCCCTCTATGTGTGAAACTTGCAAGCTGCTAATTGCGTTAGTACATTCTAAGACAGAGTCTGTTCTCAAAGCAATTCACACAGAGAGAGACTCAAAGCAATACTCTGTAACAACAGAAACAGCACCCAGAGACTCCCCGCCCTTTTGTTGTATTAACAATTGTGATTAAAATAGAGATAGAGGATGTTTGTGGATGGATGCTTGGTGTGGATAATAACTGAATGATCAGGTAGGTGCCAGCCTAAGAATCCAGTGTCCATCGGCTGAAGAAGGCGTCAAGTCGAAATAACCAGAGGATCCCCGGCGGGCAGACTGGAATCCACCCAACAGCCTCAAGAATGGGAGAACCAAAGAACAAGATAATATCTGGCAGCACTGAGCCGTCAGGAATGTGCCGTCTGCTGATTGATTCAGCAATAACATGATGAAGCAATTCCCATAGACTGGCATAGGAAGAAATTCCTATAAAAATGGACTCTAGAAAGTGAGAACTTTGGGGTCTGAT